TGCCCGGGTTTAATGTAAACAAAGCCGTCAAAGATTGAGAAAAGATGGACACGTTTGTAAATACTTGAGGAACTACTTAACGAATCCAGCTACAGAATAGCAGCCGGCCATTCTTAAAGAGGAGTAGACCACCTCCTTCGAGGTAACTCCCTAATCAACCTGTGACGCGACATGCAATTGCAAATCACCCTGGAAACGTTGGTGACCCTCCCTCACCCCCCACAAGAACCTCAAACATTCTTGTGTGTGTGATATTGATCGACAGAAAGAATGAGATCAGTGATTCTAGTACGAATGTTGTCTTTGTTCTTCCGTTACTTGTGTTCTTTACTTGAGAAGGTAGTTAACGTTCATCTTTATAACAGCCCATCCTCCTGTTTAGTTACTACACCATCCATGTGCACCATCGTACACATATTGACGTAATGTACAATTAGTACCATTTGGTACTATTCACTTTACGAGTCCGGAAAAATTACAGCTAAAAAACAAACTTTAATATTCCTAGGCCTAGTATACCACATGAGGGTGGGCTTATTTTGTGACCTTATTGAGGGGCGTCCATATTGTGGAGGTGTCCTAGTGTAAAGGTGTCCCAATTATAGAGGTGTTCCTATTGTGGAGAGGTCTATGTTATAGCAGTGTCCTGGTGGAGGCCTCTTCATTTGAGGTGTCCTATTTGTGGAGGTATCCTTTATGTAGGGGTGTTCTCCTTGTGGGGGTTGTCCTTACTGTCAGAGAACACGCACTGTCAGAGTATTCCTATTGTGGTATTTAAGAGATGAAGAGAAAATCTAAGATAGTGATGGTGAAACTAAAAATAAGACAGGAGGGGGAGAAAGAAGGGGGGAGAGAGGGGGGGGAGAGAGGGGGGGAGAGAGGGGGGGAGAGAGAGGGGGGGGAGAGAGGGGGGGAGGAGAGAGGGGGGGAGAGAGGGGGGGAGAGAGGGGGGGGAGAGAGGGGGGGGGGAGAGAGGGGGGGGAGAGAGGGGGGGGAGAGAGGGGGGGAGAGAGGGGGGGGAGGAGAGAGGGGGGGGAGAGAGAGAGGGGGGGAGAGAGGAGGGGGGGAGAGAGGGAGGGAGAGAGGGGGGGGGAGAGGGGGAGGAGAGGGGGGGGGGAGAGGGGGAGGAGGAGGAGGGGGAGGAGAGAGAGAGAGAGAGAGAGAGAGAGAGAGAGAGAGAGAGAGAGAGAGGAGAGAAGAGAGAGAGAGAGAGAGAGAGAGAGAGAGAGAGAGAGAGAGGAGAGAGAGAGGAGAGAGAGAGAGAGAGAGGAGAGAGAGAGAGAGAGAGAGAGAGGAGAGAGAGAGGGGGGGGGAGAGAGAGGGGGGGGAGAGAGAGGGGAGAGAGAGAGAGAGAGGGGGGGAGAGGAGGGGCGAGAGAGAGGGGGAGACAGGAGGGAGTGTATGTGTGTGTGTACTCACCTATTTGTGCCTGCAGGACGGAGCTCTAGCTCTTGGACTCCGCTTGTATGTGTGTCTCGAGTGGTTATGGCTTAGAACAGTGAAATGTGGGTGGCCAGATCCGTGGACTTTCACGCCAGAGTAGGCTGTCTGAGGTACTGACTCTAGAGCTTCTCAATAATCTCATCCTCCTCGTGTGTTTCTAAGGACTTCCTCCTCCTAATACACCCGCAGTCTGGGAGTGTGGACTACTGACCACATGCCCCTGTAACCATCCTGCGATGTGGGGATATTTTAACAACACATACTTAAGTGTTGATACAAGTTATGTACCCCCTTCATGTAATCTGTGGTTCACGCTTGTGTGAAAATGTACTTATGTTAAACTTTTCTGTATTCCCCCCCTGCATGCTCTCCCTCCCCCCCCCCCCCACCCCCCCACTGTCAAGAAGCAAGCATTAGGTGACGATAAGGGCGAAAATCTGGTGGAAATTATTCGTGCAATTATTCCTGATGAAGACGTGGTTTATCCTTGTCCTGACCTCTTCAGGAAGTGGTAACACTGGCGGGCTCTGGCGGCCGCAGCTGCCATCAACGGATAATATTTTGATTTGATTTGAATTTTCTAACCGTTCATTTCTAGTTGATAATTATTCCCATACCAATATTAACCTTCCTGTACTAAGATGTCGATGATATGAATCATATAAAAATAACCAATAAACTAAGAAAAAAAAATCTCATGAACGGATTGGCAACACGTGACGTAGTCTCCCGCTACTCGATAATTTTCACAAAGCTTCGTTTCCGATCTTACTTTTCCCCTCCTTTCCTTATGATCAGACACACACGTGTGTGTGTTTGTCGACCGTTGTATCTCTCATAATGTTTCGAAACTAAGTGCAACCAACTCTAGATCCATCTGAACGATAGGCGGTGGTGGGAGTCCAGGATGAAGTTAAAGCCACGTCGCCTGGCAAGGTTCGGACGAGTGCGCTACCATGGCGACCGCCGCCATGTTGGAGTCATTCATTTCCTCAGAGCTGAGGTTGGAGGCGCCAGGAACCTAACCTCCGCGCCATCTTTGGAAATTCTTTGGAAATTACTCCCATAGTCTCCCATGGTGACTATCATACCTTCTCTGGCATGTATTCAATACGTATAATAATACGAGATGACACTGGTTAATAACTGTGTGTGGGGGGAGGAGGAGTAATGTGTAGGGGTGGGAATAAGGGCAGGTGTAAGGGGAGGGGGTAATAGCAGGTGTAGGGGGGGAATAACAGGTGTGGGATGTAATCGCAGGTGTAGCAGTAATGGCATAACCTATTGTATTCTTCAGGCACTAATAACGTCTTTTTGTAATCTTGTATTCGTAATATAAACTAAATCCATAAATCACCTTTTGTAAGTGATGTTAATGTAATTTAAATAAAGGTGGATATTACTTTGACTGTCAAGGGTTAATTGCTCTTACCCACCTGACAGGTCACTGATACTCGTCTTATACCCACCTTTCTGTGGGGCAGGTGTGTGATTCTGTGGGGCAGGTGTGTGATTCTGTGGGGCAGGTGTGTGATTCTGTGGGGCAGGTGTGTGATTCTGTGGGACAGGTGTGTGATTCTGTGGGACAGGTGTGTGATTCTGTAGGCAGGATGAGTGGACAGGTTTGAGGTATAACCAAATTCTAAGGTCCGATATATGACTGATTTATGGTATGACGGAGTGTCCGTTATAAGGTATAGCGAGTAACAGATATACCCGACACTTGTCATATGGGACTAGGCATAAAGCCTAACAGGTACTCATATACTTGAGCTTGCCGAAGTTGAGCTTTAGCTCTTGGGTTCCACTTAACCTTCCATGGACTGGTTACGGAACCGTGTTTGATCGGTACCTGAACCCGCGAGTGGAGTCTGCCTCTTGCCATGTTGGGGTTACACCCGCGCCTAATAGGCCAAGCTCGGGGTAGGCTGTTTCCAATACCATTTTTTTTTATGTGCCCATGATGTATGACATGAGCGAGATCATGATTGACAGGTCTGTGGTTTGATTGATGTGGCATATACTAGGGGGGGCGGTGTCAAGTGAGAGGTGTAAGATGTGAAACAAGTATATTTTGAAGGGGTGTGGAAATTATACATAATTGGAGCTCACTGGGAAGAAGGTGAAGAGAAATAGGCATTAAGAAAGGTAATTACCAGGAGACATCGTTAAGCCAGTATGCCTATACAGCACAAAATAGACAGTAGGGGAACACAAATTTGCAGAGAAGGCAGGAAGGTTGATAAGGAGGGGAGGATGGAGGCAGGCAGTAGAGAGAGAGAGAGGGAGGAGGATAGTTAGATAACTGGGAGAGAGGGAGGGAAGGGTGCCACCTCCCTCATCTGACATATGATAACTCAATCACGTGGTTCAGTGCCGGGATAGTGACGTCACTGAAGCTCTCATTAAGGGCGCCAATTGCCGGCGTGGTAGTCCTTGAATCATTCCTCCTCGTACTGGTCGTCCTTGACTCGTTCCGCCACACACTGGCTGGTACTGGTCCTCCTCGAGTCGCTCCGCCTCGCACTAGTCGCCCTTGGGGCGATTGGCGCGTTCTAGAGTTCGAAATTAAGTTCAATTCTCAAGTTCCTGTAATGTATAACTTGTTTAAAGATTGAGTTGTCCTTAGACGTTTCCCCACAGGTGATGACCTGGTGATCTGTATTACTTCAGCCAAGCAAAGGGACACGACCGATTGACAGCAAAGTGACCCAGCAAAGTGACTCAAACCAGGTCAACGCCCAAAGATAGGTCATGTCGGAAGGCGATGACCTTATACATGACTAAGGTCGCTGACATTTCCCCGGTGATAAGGGTTCTGATTAGTGCAACTAGAATAGGTTTACACTAGAGACGAGACCTCTCGCAAAGTAGTCTACCATGACCAGAAGGAGAAACAAAATGGAGGTCACGAGAGAGGTACATCGAGTATTAAGTAAAGTTTCTCAACCGCTTCTGTCGAGAAGTACAAGATACACCTTTGGGTTGTAGGTTTCTTGGCTTGTTTGCTTGCCGTCTTCACCCTAATGGCTGCTCTTCACGATCATTGACGAGTCGAACTTCATCCGAAGGATGTTTTCTTCATCATAGAATACTTAGTTTTTGCCGTGTAGTATTAATAAGTAGATGTAACCTGCCATTTCCTGCATCAAGTAGATATTGCTGAAATTTTGTCATTAATGAGCCACGTTCGTATGCAGGCGACGAGTCACAATAACGTGGCTAAAGTATGTTGACCAGACCACACACTAGAAGGTGAAGGGACGACGACGTTTCGGTCCGTCCTGGACCATTCTTAAGTCGATTGTGTGAATCGACTTTAGTCACACAATCGACTTGAGAATGGTCCAGAACGGACCGAAACGTCGTTGTACCTTCACCTTCTAGTGTGTGTGGTCTGGTCAACGAGCCACGTTCGCGTGTAACTGTACAGATTAGCAATTACTATAGGCCAGGGCTTCAGGGATGAGAAATAATAATAAAGTGTTAAAAGTACACATTTCAGGCGGCATATTATAAAAGCACCATCTCATTACTGTTCTCTTTCTCCCCGACAGGAGGCCTACCGTTACTGGGTGTGCTCCCAGCTCTTCCCTTACTACGTGGACGGCGTCCGGGTCAAACCTTGCCGGCGGTTCTGTCATGACGTGGAGCAGAAGTGCCCTTACTTCCTCCCCAGAGCTAAACCTGTAGCAGGAGAACCTACTTTCCTCTGTCAGGGTAACTCCCAGACCATCCCACACTGTTTGGAACTGTATATTGATAAACTAAATCCTTAAATGCAAAAGATCTTGTTATTTTTTCTAGAATTTGTTAGTGTATAAGCATAAATAGTATACATAGTTTTTATTAGTATCTTTTTGCATAACACTTTCACACTGGTGGTTTTAAATCTCATGCTGAAATGTCAGGTTTGTGTCCCATTGGTGTATTTAGCATGATATACAGTGTGTGTGTGTGTGTGTGTGTGTGTGTGTGTATGTATGTGTGTGTGTGTGTGTGTGTGTGTATGTATGTGTGTGTGTGTATATGTATGTGTGTGTGTATATGTATGTGTGTGTGTATATGTATGTGTGTGTGTGTGTGTGTGTGTGTATATGTATGTGTGTGTGTGTGTAAATCACGAAGAAACTTGTCATTTACATTCTCCATCACGTAGTATATATAATAAATAGGAAAGTAAAACAAGAAATTACTTTCGTGTAAACATCTTCAGAAGATGTGTTCATTAACACGAAAGTAATTTATTGTTTCATTTGTCTTTCGTGGCTATATATTACACATACATATTATAATAAATATATATATATTATATAATTACATGACTATCGCCACTGCATCCTAACAAACATTAAATAATTAATATACGAATCGTTGTAAGGATGGAATTTTTATTTAGTAAGCTTTCATGCAAATGGGGATCGAACCCCAACGACCCATGTAGTGCCCAGAACCCACACCATTGATCCTGTAAAATTTCGCGAGGCTAGCCCCAGGCGTTTGGGATTTTGTTTTACGGTTTGATTATTTATTGGGGCATCTTGGATTTTTTTGTGTTTGTGTATAGCGCGTTTTGGATTTGTTTTGTTTAGATTTTTATGAATATTTAGAATATTTATATTCTAAATATAAAGAATATTTTGACACATCTGCAGTAGACGCCAGGTTTTAGATTCACGCGAACAAGGACTTTTGTCTCAATAGTACCAAATACAAATTCGTAAATAGGACAGCAAGGGGGCATCCCTCAACTCTTTCCCTCATTCCTGGTCACGTTGGTGAACAGCAGCGATCTCTCACCCGATGCCTGCGCCCCCCCCCCCCCCCCCCGCACCTGTGGCAGGTACTGCGTCAGGAGGGTGTCGAGTCCCTTGGTCAGTCTCACACGCAAAAGGTCACCAATAAGCAGGCCGTCCTCATCAACACAGCCCAAATACTCGTTAATCCAACCGCTTACACGCGACTTGCAACTGATGAACATGTCTCTAACATTGCTATGCTGACGAACTCTGATTCCCATGGCTGTAAATGCTTCACCCACGTACTTAAAATATACAAATAATCACCAACCTAATCACATAGAACATTAATATATATTAATATATAAATCGGAAGCTGTTGTTAATACACAATACATTAAAAGTTATGAATGAGTCTTGGGAAACGGGACGCTGATTTAACGAGCCTAGCACGACGACAGGTTGCAATGAGAATACTTTACAATCGGAGCTGACTGACAGACTCGAGGTAATTACAGAAGCACTGTACTGTCTCCGGAGCTCAAAATTAGTTACAATCCTTCGTGAGAATAAGGAAATACTGGTCAGAAAAATGTGAGACGTCACTAATATGGACACAAGAGACTAAGGGGTTTTATGCAAGGTAATGTAACTACCCTTGATCAGCACCTCTTATGACATTTGAAAGAAATCTACCACTTGTGACTCAAAAAAATATTTCGTTCAAAAATCTCATCAGAAGTACAGTACTGACAACTGTATCCCTCATTGATGAGGCACTGATATCCATGGTAATTCAACTGATGACACGATAACATATTGAAACATGTAGGGTTTGCCAGTGGTACTGTGGGTCCCCTCTTTAGGGTCTATCTTGAGGTTATCTCGAGTTGATTTCGGGGCTTTAGTGTCCCCGCGGCCCGGTCTTTATCCAGGCCTCCACCTCTAGGAAGCAGCCCGTGACAGCTGACTAACTCCCAGGTACCTATTTACTGCTAGGTATCAGGGGCATAGGGTGAAAGAAACTCTGCCCATTGTTTCTCGCTGGCGTCCGGGATCGAACCCGGGACCACAAGATCACGTATCCAGCGTGCTGTCCGCTCGGCCGGGCGGTCACGTCGGCCTTAGTCTAAGGCCATGACTGTCATCATGTCTCTCCAAGACCCCCGTAGCCGTCAAGGCCGCGCTCTAAGCCATGATCCTTCCGTGTACCTCTGTGCGCATTGTTAGTTTATTAGTCTAAGGCGGTGGAGGGGTATTAGTGTACCAAGTATAGTGGCTTGGCGGGTAACTTGATGCAGTCTGGTGTGATGCCTTAGTATACCTCGTGCGGGTGTGATGCCTTAGTATACCTCGTGCGGGTGTGATGCCTTAGTATACCTCGTGCGGGTGTGATGCCTTAGTATACCTCGTGCGGGTGTGATGCCTTAGTATACCTCGTGCGGGTGTGATGCCTTAGTATACCTCGTGCGGGAACTATCATACTGGATATGACCTGGTGCGATACGTAACGTAGCCTGGAGCGTTACCTGATATGAGGCTCAAACTAGTGCTAGTACACTCGAGTATCTCCTAAGTGTCTAGTATCAGCTAGGATTTTCGGTTTGAAATATGGCATAAGCACAGAGCAGCTCATTTGAGGATCTTTCTGGATTCAATTAAACTATCTTGATTTCCACCGAATTTGTATAGCTTAAATAACATCTTTGGTGTTTTCTTAAGAATGACAAGACCAAATATACATAATCCTTAATGTTGCTGCTATGTTCTTATACTTCTCAATGTTGTATATTCTCCATGTATGTATATTCACATGTATATTACACTGCCATTTTATACATCGAACAGGTCCTGGAGGACAAAACGATCATAGATCATTGTTGAACAAATCTGCTTTAATATGTGCCGAGTTGCAATAAATGTCTAATGCGCCATTGCCCTGTTGCAGACCCGAAAATTGGGGAGCTGGAGGAACAGGAATCGTCATACGGGTCAGACGCGTGCTGCTACCACACCTGCCCTCCCCACCAGGTGCTGGGATACGTGAAGGAGGTTCCCGAACACCAACCTCTACCCAGCCTCTGTTCCACCTGCCACACCTCCACTACCACCACCACCACCATCACCGCCTCCAGCAGCAGCAGCACCTCCAGCAGCGACGCCAGCACCTTCCTGTCGCCTACCCCACGGGACAACCACAAGGCCAATCACTCACAGTGTCTTTCAGCCAGCGATGCGGACTCTTGTTCACTTCACCCTGCCCCCAGCCCACTTTCTCCGTTACGTAGTGCCGGCAGCAGCAGCACCACAGTTATAACCAGAAAACATTGTTGGACTCGTACAGCGTTATATATATTGTTGTTATATTTAGTGCGAACTCGTGTCTTGCTGCCGCGGGGGTTTACGTAGTGTTTGGCGTCCAGGTCAATGTGTGTGTGTGTGTGTGTGTGTGTGTGTGTGTGTGTGTGTGTGTGTGTGTGTGTGTGTGTGTGTGTGTGTCCTACTCCTCTCCCGTATTCACCCCCCCCCCGCACACACACTGTTACCCGCGAGCCAGTGTTCCCCTTTAGTGAGTCACTGGCTTCCTTTTAGCTTCAGTATTCCCCTCGGTTGCGTTCCACCCCCACTCATCCATCAGCGCTCTACCTCCTCCTCCTCCCCCTCCTTTCCCCTCACACTTCCTCCGTCCCTAACCCCTCTCCCTCACCTCTCCCAAGAGCCTGCAGCACTGAGCCGACGCCAAGCCCCTTAATCAGTGCCTGCAACACCTATACCATTGATGGCCCCCTTCCAACACTCATCCCAACACTAGCAACCTTATAATTGACGAACCCATTATTAATACCCCCCAAAGTAGTGCCCTTTTATTGATGGCCGTTCGTTAGAGCCTTTCATCATCAATAACTTCTCCCCTACTTAATTACCTATAGTTTTTTCTTAAGTCTGTTTTCTCCAGTTTGAAGATGTTTTCTACTAAAACATATATATATATACGTTGTTCTCGTTCTTCCTATACCTCTTGCTTTTTATATTTTGTCCTTTAATTGATGGTAAGTTAGGCAGCGTCAGTTCCAACGCTAGTTTGTGGTACTGACGCCAGGGGTAATTCCCTTCATCCATCTTAACATTCTTCTTCCCCTTCTCACCTCCCTGGTTCACGTTTTTTATTGTGGGAATCTCCCTTCTTCCGCCTGTATGAGGTGCCTGGGAGGGCGCACACTGCCCCCCTCTCCCCCATTCCTATGCTTCACCCCATATCTTTATCCTCTTTTGTTCCCTAACTCTCCCTCTCTTCCGGCATCTTCTCTCCCATCTATATATTATACCTTTCCTTCCCCCCCCCCTTTACGCCTCTCATCCAGTTCCTCGCCATATATCACGACCCCTCCTCCGTACTTGACCACCAGGCCCTCCTCGTAGCCTGGCTGGCTACACTACCATGGTGGACAACGCGTGATAGTGTGTGTACCTTCAGGATGGACAGTGAAGCTGAGGCCATGAGTGCGTCCACGCCCCCAACCCCGTACGTGTGGACAAAAATTTAATAAATATGTTAACGAGATTATCCATCATTTTTAGGAACCATGTGTCACCTTCTTTTGGAGAGAGAGAGAGAGAAATGAAACATATCCTACTCAAGTTTTAAGTATTTTTCTTGCAATATGGCTCGCGCTAAGATTCTTGAGCCCTTCTCGCCATGGGCTGCGCCAGGATTTGAAACCTTTTGTGTCTTATAATTAGCAGAATCATGAAACTCAAGAGTTGACTCCTTGGTCGGACTGAGGCAGTGAACAGATGCCAGGCACTAACGCTACACTCAACTCCGCAACACAAAATCACGGTGCCTGGTAGCTCACCTCTCCGATTCTTCAACCAAGCTGTTTCTTAGGCGCTGTTGACAAGACCTCCAGAATTTAGGTGATCTAGTGCGAGCTTGAAGGACCGACTCTGCAGGCAAGACCAGTGGAGGCAGCAGCAGGAGCGCATGAAGGACAGACAATCAGTGTGTGGCGCAGTGGTCCCCAAACACTTAGTCGCTCCTCCAGTTATCATTTAGCCTCACTACCAATATTTGTTATACTCCCAGATATATTTTTAGAATCTTAGCTATGTTGGAAACCTATATTAGAAGAGGATAATACTCCACAAGGCTTGCTTAAGGTTTGCTCCAGAGGTTACACCGAACCAATCTCATACCGGCCACAAAGGTTCTTATAGTGAAAGTCACTCCAATTGTATGCGCACACTACATCTTTCACTAGAAATAGAATTGTGGCAGTTTATATTTAACTATTTTTCCTAAAAGATGTACTGTATATGCTATATAATATTTTTGATAGATTCTTCCGAGAAGAAGCTATTGATATTGCACGGTTCTCTAAGTCTTTGTTTAAGGAACAAAAAAGTGGGTTTCACACATGCTGAAATGACCATCATGTGGCGCTTGAGTACTCTTAAGATGTTATCCAAGAATTGTTTTACTTTCAAGTGTGTTTCTTCGAAGTCTGTTTTGATGTCTTAATGTGCATAAGTTTTGGTTTATACAAAACAAAGACATTCCTGTGGTAGCTCTTGACGAGTCGGGTTTAGTTGTCACGTTTCTCTCGGGGACAAACGTCACGTTTCCTCTATTAAGTCGACATGTTTTTTCAGGTGTTTCCTGCATAGCGCAGTCATTGGGTCATGTGTTTTGGTCTCATAAATGTTCCGTCTCTCTCACCTTTCGTCTCCTATATCTCACCTTCACATTACGTATCGTTATCACTAAATTATAATCCGTTGTTGTCACTTTTTATCTTAGTCTAACATTCCATTTTATCGTATTCAAAACTTCGTATATTTTCTATGGTTTGAAACAAATTATTAAATTCAATCTTCCACGACGATGGCCTTTGGGTGGGCACTTTGTAACAGTATGTAATTATAAGGAAATAATATATGAATCCAATACTCAACACGCTAACTCGGTTGGCTGATTGAGCCTCGCCATGGTGTCAAATGACAAGTCGAGCTTCGCTACATTCACAAATTTCTTTCGTCAGTTTATTTAGCTCAATTCTCAAAACCTGGTTTTTCTGTCAGCTACATTAAGCCTCGTTGGCCACTTTTGTTATTGACATTGATGCATCTTTGAGTTATATATGATTATATAAGTTACTTTCATTGCGAAAAACAATATTATACTTAAAAATATATACACATAAAATTACACGCTTGCATATCCATTCTCGTCTGGGGAAAGGTAATACAGATGTTCACACTAATTATGGGACAGTAATGGTTCACCACTAACCACACCCATCATTATCAATCATTTATGTCATCAGAACTATCAATATCATCGTTATCAGCATTACCATCAGAATCAAATAACGTGTAATGCCATTTGATAATTATCACCACCATTTGGTATTGGAAACGTTTCCCCCCCCTCAGAGACACCCCGCTCATATTCCCCTCACACGAGTAAGTGAGGGGGAATACAGGACCAGGTGGAAGATCCTGTATGATACTAGTTTTTAGATTAAATATGCGTCAGCTTCTGGTCTTCAAAACATCCTAATGTTTAGAAAACGCTAAATTACCGTGTCTGCCCGCCGATTTGCGTTCGCAAACATTGTATATCATTCTAATTGGATTCTAAATCAACGCACCTGGATGAAAGCCAGTGGTGAAGTGGGACGAAAGCCAGGATTGCGACTAATGCATTACGGTTTCCAGTTTCATTAACCTCTATGTCGCAGTTTTGTACGACCCGAGGTTATCGGAGCCTCATGTTGTCAGACCGTGTTTCTGGTCCGATGTTTCAGACACTAAGACTGAAAACTTAATTACTCAGAACTATCCGGAGTTAGGCTATAGCAAGTCTCCGATATTTCGCCCAACTTAAAATCGTCACAGGACGATTTACACGAGCTTTCAAAATAAACTCAAGACTGGCAGATACATTTTAATGATGGCACTAGTAGGATTCTAAGCCAAGGAAATAAATATAAAACATCAACTGAATAACTATGAAAATACCAAATCTGAATTCGATAAAGATCAAAGACCATTTAAGTCAAAATATAAAATTGTTCGAAATACGGCTAATAGGAAACTGAAATTTACATTAAAAAGCATTACTTAACTAGAGCTATTCGTTAGTTTCATAAAGCTCCCTTTGGTTCCCCATTTAGATTACGCAGTTCAGTTTTGGGGACCATATTATAAGCTGTCATGGACAGTTAGAAATAGGACATGACCCCTGGACCTTACGAATCTCTAAAGAAGAGCGATTGCAAAAGCCTAATTTACAATATCTATAAAAAGGCGACGAGTATGAGGCCGATATAACCGAAATTATATGACAATACTTAAGACTAGTAATAGCCCTCTTAACACAAAACTGAATTTCGAACTATAGACAAATTATACACGTTTCACTTAAACCAATCCTGGGCAAATATGGACTTTATAAAACAGACTGAGGGGTTGCCTGAGCGTTTCAAGTGAAGCTTAGGGACATTGTACAGTGATTCCTAGTATCAGATTCCCAGTTTTCTCCACTATCGAGAGTCTAAGCCTCTAAGCAAAACGTAATCAATTATCAAAAGAAGACATCAAGCCTAGAAGACACTCAGACTCGTCCAAGTTCACAATATATGAACATTATGTATTATGCCGTTTCTGTCGAGGCCTAAAATGTTCAGCTGAATTCCCTATAAACACACTGACTAATCGCTTACATATTTGTATTATAGACTCCCACGTCACTGAAAGTTTAAATGTAATTTTATCTTAAATGTTGGAATTCTACTCTGATGGGACCAGATATTTTTATATTTGTACAATGTGTACATCCTGGATACTTAGGGTCGTGAACCATCTTGATTTGTTGGGTGTGGCGACTCTTTCACCGCACGTCCATCACCACTTTCACCACCACTAGCATATCTCGACTCATCACACCCATGCTCACCATCACCCCCACCACTCCTGTAGTGATCATCACCACATTTCCACCACTGTCTCGCGAGATGATCATTGTGTAAATCTCCTACGAATCTTAGTACCTGGAGCTACTAATGGATGGTTATACAAAACGTGTTACTCTTGTAGCCAAAATTAGTCCAAGTTATGTACTATTAATTTTGAAGACCCGAGAGGGAAAGCAACAATAAAATTTTACTTTTCCTAGGCCTAATATACGTACTAAATTAAGCCTAATATTGTGCACGTTAGGCCTAGGTTAGGTTTACTGTTAGTGTTTTTAACTTTGTATTACGCCTTTAGAATTTTAATAGTACAACGCTTGAACTTAATTTGGGTCCAACGGTTGACATTCTGTACTATTCGTCCACAATAGCTCTAGGTACTAATATTTATAGAGGGTGGACTAACTCATTACTCGCATGTCGATTAATTACACCATTAACTACTGTTACCCATATATTTACCCTTTCAACTATTAACTAACATTTCTAACATGATCACATCGCACCATTAACTACCATTACACTCAAATAAACCAAATACTCCATTAACTCTCACTACCCACAACAAGATCTCCTACAATATTAAAACTAACAAACATCGCATCCATAAGACAATCAAAAATTTATCAACAAAAAAGTCTGCGATGTTATTTACTCCAGATGCAGAGGGAGGCTACCATGTTGCCATGGTTACCGCCGCGAGTTGCCATGGTTACCGCCATGCGTTGCCATGGTTACCGCCATGCGTTGCCATGGTTACCGCCATGCGTTGCCATGGTTATTGTCATGCGTTGCCATGGTTACCGCCGCGAGTTGCCATGGTTACCGTCGCGTTTTGCCATGGTGTTGCAAACGTGTCTCATCCGTGCCTACACTATGAGGAACCATCCCAAATGAGAACGAGAGATTTGTCCAAGTGACAAATTTACCATTATTGCAAGTCGATTGTTAAATAAAAAAAACAGTTCAGTTGCTCACCGGATTTCCTGGTTTAGCGCCGACTTACCATCTGGTCCGCTGTACATAAATCGTTGCAAAGGCCAAGAGGGGAAAATGCTTTCCATTTTTGTATAGAAAAATAATCAAAAGCTAGGTTTTTCTCTTCTTGAACGATGGTCCGTATGCTGCTCTCCCACCCACGAGGGCCAGAGACCAAGCCGACGACTGTCATTAGCCAAGACCAAAAAAAAAACTAACATAGAAAGCATGTTAAGGAGCCGCGTGCCTCTTGCAAGACGGCAATAGATTCTTGCATGGACACACACATGATCAAAACTATAAATCAGAGACCGTCCGACACTAGAACACTATGTGACTGAAGCGTGTAATAGAGTCGACACTCGTGAGGTTCACTTGGGCGGATGATGGTGCCTTTCTCGGCTGCTAGCTTGGATGAGGGCGGCTCTAACTGTGACCCGTGGAGGATGGGGGCCAAGTCTACAGGGGAGTGTGGTCCTCCTGTATGTGGCGACTAGCTGGTTTGGGCGTAGAGGGGTTGCTGGGTGTGGTCACCGCCAGGTAGTGAGGGAGGTCCAGGTCTCACCCACCTGCAAGCTAACCTCGCGCCCTTGGAGCCAGGCTCTTGCGCCTACGTAACACTCGAGTAGCAGTAACCTCTCATGAAAGGCACTCGAGTGTCCCATTCATTAAATTGGTATCCCTGAGGCTCTTAATTCATTAACGTGAGTGCCTTACCTAACCTGTCTACATCGGTGGAACCGACGCCTCAAGTCGCGATCTTGACCAAGAAAACAGTTATTTGGTAGATGCGACCTTGCATGCATGTGCTGCGGACTGCCTGCAGATGCTTGTGACCTTAGCTCCGCTGACCTTTGTGAAATATATAGCATCTACAGGCACCACAGGTCACTTGCTAAGCAGCGGCGGCCGTCCAGCACACGCACACACAGAGACACAGCTGCCGGTGCGTGGGCTTGTACACAGCTTTTTACGTAATTTAAACAGCCGCTATGTCTCTGTGATCTATCTGGGTGGGCTGCAAACAGCCTCTTTGGACTGCATGTTTCTACTGCAGACAGTCGGTATAAAACTAAGGATTTGATCGGAAAGGGCTGCAAAACGGTCGATGCGTAGTCGTGGACTGTCTGGGTGTGCTGCAGACAGTCTCGGTGCAGCATAATGCTGTATATGCACAAATGTCTGTCGCGCAACTTCGGGCGGTCGTACGTGTCAAACTTTCACAACGTAAAACATGTTCAACACCGTATACGTTACATACGCCCGTCACACAATTATGTATCCCGTGTATCACAGCAGAAGTGAACCCATCGACCTCCCGCGCAGTGTTACAGGCACGTGTGCGCTGCAGTAAGGTGATGTGTGCAGCACACGGTACACTCCGCAGCTTGCAAGGTGCCCCTCACAAGTAAAATGGTTAATGTTAAGCAAGAAGCACACGAGGGTGGGGGATATGAACGGGTTCTCTCAGTATTCTTGGTGGGTTGGTGAAGATGGAGGGTAAGAGCTACCTGACTACGAGAGGGGGACTGGCCAACCAGCCTCCTCCGAGGGTCCCCCACTGCGGGGTATTTGTATTACCTGTTTCCTAGAGGACTTGTGTTTGGAAGTAAGATCCCTCTGACTGTCTGAAATGCTCGTCTCATCTATATCGTTCCTTTGACTGGTTCATCTGTAACACGTCATAATTAATTTGTAAGTCTCTTTAATATACAGGTTTGTGTTTGTGAATGATCACCTTATACAGTTCGTTGATACATGAAAAATATTTATACATGGTTTATACATGGTTATAGAGACGAATACATATATTTATCACTGGTATTAATGCCAGTTCGCAGAGGATGTGAGGTTTTACATAGTCTTATGATGTATCTCTGTGTGAGTGTGAATTATTGTATGCAAGATTTGTCGAGTTAATTTAAGCAGTGGCTTCATAATGCTATATTTTGTATATTTAAATCATGATACATCAGCCGACATTATCATCCCAAAGAACATCACTAATCTTCCTCTCATTAGAGCGAGGCGTCGAGTGCCTTGAACCACATCTTGTAAAAATTATCCAACAATTTAACCCTTTAAGCAATTTTACCCAGTACCCCCCCACTCGCGCGATCACTACCCCCCCCCCTTGCAGTTCCCTCTAGGAGCAATCACCACCATCACTAGTTAACCCCCCCCCCCCTCCCCCCTGGTGCAACCACCACCACAGTCCTCCCATACCTGGAACTATCACCTCCACCAGTTCCCCTTTGCTCGCCCTCAAGCACACGAACAATACGATTACCTTAAAATAACCAAATGAGAAGCTTGTGTATTGTATATCCGCGGAGGCTCAAGGCTCTCGACACTGTTCGTCACCATCTACACCACCATCACCACCACCATACACCACTCACCAACACCACCAAAGGTTAAATATGGCCAATGTGTGCGCTCGGTGACCTCACCACTGTTGTGGAGAGGTCCCGTCATTTACTGTTTGATTTCCCTGTTTAGTCTGATAAAGGAAATACCTCATGTATATTGACAGGTTAAGACGGTCATATAATCAAGTGTTAATATGTCCTTTGCTACGGTTACTATGACGATTTATTCGATTATTATTTTCTACAAATCTGTTTCTGATTTTTATTCCTTTGCTGGAGTTGCCTAGTTGCTAAAAAAAAAGATAAGACAATGCGCACATTATGTCTCTGGTGAGGTTATCCTGAGGGGTGCTCGTGGGACAACACGTGGGTCCCTCCGCCCGCCACGTCTTGCTCCACCAGTAGTCCTAAATGGTGCCCCCTTGCGGGTATCCACTTGGTCACCTTAAGGTTAGCCCCAGTGGGAACCCTTCGAACCCCCAGCACGGTACTCGAGAGGGGCACATGTGCCCCCCCTACCTTCCCTCCCTGGTCACTATACGCCTTCCCCTACTCTCCCCTACTGGCCGGTGCCTCTCTGGAGTCGGCCTTCGTGTTAGTTTGGGATTCCGGATGCCCCCGACGGCGACCCGACCTGGCCATCTTGTTACCCTTATCCCCTGTTACCTGACTGTGGGACCCAAACGCGGCATCACCGACTATTGATCCTGTAACATAACCACGACGTTTCTTTTGTACGTACATATAGATCTGTACATAGGACAAAATATGAATGTTGTTAATAGGACAGTTGAGAAATAAAGAGAATTTTAACAGATTTACAAGTTCTTTTTTACCTTATGCCCCGTGAGCCACACCCCCCAAATGGTGGTCCAGGGCCACACCCTTCAAATGGTGGTTTAGTGGGCCACACCCCCCCAACTGGTGGTCCAGAGCCACCCCCCCCCCCCCCCAACTAGGGGTCCAAGGTGCCGGGCTCCACAATGCCTCTTGTATATCCACCACTAACCTGCTCCGTCTTATACCCTCTTACATAATAAAGTAATAGCTCATTTGTTGCTAACAACACGTACTTAACCACTGACTAGTGGAGGCAGCGACCATCTTGCTTATAGCAGGTTTAGGTTCGATCCCCGATGGTGCAAGTAGTTGGCACCGTCCTATCCCAGATCCTTATCCCTTTCAAGTGCTGTATACTCATAGTGGCTCAACGTTTTGTTCTCACAATGACGTTATGTATTGGCTCGCCTCTCGGTAATCTTTCCATACCAGCCTGGCCACTGACTGGGGTACTTCCTGAACTGGATCACACAGGCTCTTAACGATAGTGCGTGCTGGGGATTGTCTTAAAACGTCACCAACATTTAGTAGTCAAACGTTAGCCTTCAGTAAATTACATTTATCGTTAATTTATATGCAGTAAACTGACTGGTAACGTTAACTTTACCCACAAAATTACAGTAATCTTCTCAACATGTCAACTAGGCTTCAGCAATCATTAAATTCCACCAAGATTATTACACTTCCCAGCAGCGTCACACACTACGAAACAATCATACACCAGAAATGTATCGGCAGCAACCACAAATGAACAAACTGTCTTGTCCCTCAGAACAACCTAATGCAAAAGGCGCGGGGACTCTCCAGGCTTACATGACCAGCTCCCGCAGCTGCCTGTGTCATCGCCAGGTGCGAGCAGCTCCCCACGCCTCGCCCCGACGCCTCACCCCCACGCCCCACCCCACGCCCTTCCACACGTGCGCTTCTGCAGTCACTTCCTACAAATCCTCATCTCCCTTAATTGGCGTATTCCTGATGCGCCTCTGCGTTCTCCTTTCCTCGTCCTCGTGCGGGCGCATACGTCCTGAATCACTACTACTACTTAACCGACTGAGTATTAGAGGGTATATAACTGCAGCCAGCTTGAGGTCCTCTTTGGTCTTCTAAACTGCTGCTGGAAAATCCAGATGTATCCACTGAACTGTGGACACTAACTTCACACTAGACGTAGGGCGTCACACAAGCCTCTCTCACTGAGTAAAGCGGGTATAACTGCTCTTCAGGAAACAACACTTCAAAATATCACTAATCTCCTGGCATGTGCTCAGTATCCCACACTGGCTCACGGGCTTCTGAACTGCCATATTACGCTGCTTACCGTCACTGGTAATCGACTGATTCATAAAGGCACTGCACTGCCTAACTCACTGCTGCACTCTTAAGCTACGCAGTACTGTAGGCAATCGAACACCACACTCTACACTCCCAGTAGCAACATTTTCACTAGCGCCAAAGTCGCTTAGGTAGCAGCACTGTACTTTATATTCACTGCACTTCTCTCAAGCACCGCCGACTCGTAAGGTCCAGGACTGCTCTCAATTTCCTAAGATTTGGTGGCGTTTAGATTGTAGGGAGAAAACACACACACACACACACACACACACACACACACACACACACACACACACACACACACACACACACACACACACACACACACACACACACACACACACACACACACACAACACACACACACACACACACACACACACACACACACACACACACACACACACACACACACACACACACACACACACACACACACACACACACACACACACACACACACACCCACCCACCCACCCCTGCCTATCCATCAAGACGGTGGTCCCCGATCATTAGCCATTTCTGTGTTGCACTTCAACTTTGCAACTTGCAGAATTCGGCGATAAATCTTCTGCTAGATGTACTAGGGTTAGTCTGTGTATATATCCGGTGCCATCGGCGTCTCCTTACTGGACACGATGCCCAATTAAAAATTCAAGTTAATTCCTGCAGGTGACCTCGATGCGACCGTCTCCCACTGCCGCTTGGGCAACATGGCGTCCGTCGAGCATATGGGACGTGAAACACATCATTCTTGCTCATCACGTGACCTCCTGATCACTTCATTAGGTGATTCATGCCGTTTACAGCCACTCATCCTTCACTTGGGAGTTCTGTGAACACTGCCTACATCCTCGGCCGCACAAATCTTGACCCTTACGCCTGCCACCGCCAGGTCGGAAAATACCCGACTAGGCTGTCTCCATGAATTTTAATAATTCAACTTAAAAATTAAAAACAAAAACAATCTATAACTCCTTCAACCATCCGGAAGTGAAGGACCTTCACTCCGCTGACCAGCCAAGTGGATGGGTCACACATGCTGTGTTCAACATTGCATTAATCTCTTATGCATTACATCGTAAGAAGTGATTTGCAATTTGTTAAAACCTCCTCGGCAATGTTTAAACATGTGATTGACTAATATTTAACAACTACTCACTTTGACAATGAAATCAATGGAATAATTCAACTTATCTTTGCGTACTCCAAGTAATAAAATTAGAATAATAACATTCTACCCAGCAATCACTTATTAGCAAGTGAAAATGATGAATTAAAATCTCAATTTCCAACGAATTCAAATTATGTCACAGAGCCTTTTAAACACCGTAGATTATACCAAACGTTCACCGTAATGGGATAGCCAACATTCATCGCTTCATGCAAGAGGTCATGTTCAGTGCCTCTTCCCCCCCCCATCCCCACCATGTCTCGCCTCCTGCGATGAATGTTGGCTACCACATAACGTTCAATGTTTGGTCTTCAAGTCAGTGGCAAGCCGAGGGGGGAGAATGTCTCGCGCTGCGAACTATCGCGATATTTCCTGTTCATTCCGAAACGCTCCTCGTCATCCCACCGCTGCTCAACTGCAGACACCAGGTCCGCCTCCCCTATGTGGTGGCCCATCACTACGAGATCACACAAAACACATCTACACCGCCGCTCTCAGCTGCCTTTGGGGGTACCCCGTTTTGGGTACGTGTACCCCAAACGCTCGTGACTTACCTCGAACACACACACACACACTAATGAGACAGCACTGACAGCTCGATAGGTACAGACACTACCACGGTCCCCGATAGAGCGAGTCAGACCAGAAGGACAGACATGCAAATTTTGTCAGTAGTTTCAAAGCGTTATATGACAAAGAGTGCTGGGAAGACGGGACACCACGAGCGTAGCTCTCATCCTGTAACTACACTTAGGTAATTACACTTCATGGCTCCAGGAGGTTTCTCCATATGTGAGCGCCCAGAAATGTGTGCCCCCCCCCCCCCTCCCTCTAAGATATTCAGCTTGTGATCTTCCACAGAAATGGCTCCCAACAACCTGTAAATGATCAGAGCTTCAAAGTTCAAAAGTTGTTGCTGGAGCAACTTTTCCTGATAATGAGGAAATGATCCTTTACGTAATCAATTTTGCTACCGAGAGTCAAGGTGATTAGCGCGGATAATTATTTCAGTTTTTTTTCTAATCTTCAAATTTTAGGTTAAACCGCAGAACGTGAAACAATTTCAAAACTATTATTTAACGGTTTATTACCAAGTAATTACGTTAACCAATTACAAAATGTCGATAGGTTTAAACTGCGCGATAAATATACTCTTGCCAAACTTAACTTGAAAAAAAAAATCACTTTTTTAAACAATATCCGATTACTTTTAAAAAATCTTAATGAACATTTTGTAAGGAAATATTTAGCCAACTAAAAAATTATTATATCCAATTACAAGTATTCTTCGTTGAACTGAATGAGAAGCTCTCCACAATACATTTTTTTAATATTTTATCAGTACATTAAAAACATATAATATATATTAGATATATACTAAATTACATAATATACTAAAACTATGGCGTTTGTTAGTTAAGGCAGAAGGTAAGGAAAGGTGTTGGGTAGGAAGAGGAAAACGAAGCAGCCGCGTCCAACAGCCTGGTTGATCAGTCCAGCAACCAGGAGGCCTGGTCGACGACCGGGCCGCGGGGACGCTAAGCCCCGGAAGCACCTCAAGGTATGGTTTAACAGATCTACAAGACAAGAGGAGATGGGAAGACAGACAGCAAGCTGCTACAGTCCCTTGAGCTAGGTAGACGTCGAGTGGGAGGTCTACTTTCTAGAGGAGTAGATGCCGATGCCGATGTAGCCCACGATGCCCCCAAGGATGAGCATTCCGATAGCCAGGCCTGCCATGTCACCTAAGGAGAGAAGGACCGCTGAGATTGCAGGCTTTTGTCATGGCCCTTACTCCCCCCTTATCTCCTTCTCTACATTTACATCTCTCTCTAGCGTAGGGACAGTAGCGACAAGCAGTTACAAAGTCTAATGTTTATTTCTTATTACGTTTGATTGAAACAAATATATTTGCTTATAGAAGAAATAAGTAACGTGGGATCTTGACTGTAGCGAAAAAATGCGAGGAACGGTACACGAGGGAAGCGAAAGGTTCTGTAAAAACTGATGAAATCAGAATTAAGGAAGAATGATAGACGGTCGAGTGAAGCGGTCCGGATGATCAGCGGGCGAGGGAACAAGGAGTTCTGAATGTCTTACTTTGGGTCTAAGAAGTGCATCGTGTTATCGGGAAGAGAACACTTGAACGTTTAAGCATCAGAGAAGACTAACTAACTCAAGGGAATGATTTACTAGGAGGTAGAGGTACGCACCGGGAATAGGATGGCATGCAATGGATCTAATAACTACTATAATATGACTTAAAAAGTGTTACATACCTTCAGAAGGACTTGGAATGTTTGGCGCCCTAAACAGGAAGCATTACAAGGTGGTGAGGATGAACCTAGGAGGATTTTTGCAACCAGTGGGACCCTTCAGGCTCGGGTAGGTGGAAACCTGCCTGGAGGAGGGAGCTTGTAGGGAATAAGGTCTTACTTTGAGAAAGATGTATCTAAGGATTTACCTGGTGAGTAGCCGGTGAGGGTGTTGGTCCCTCGCGTGTGTCCGTCGTCTCTCTCCACCTCCTTCATCGTCCCGTGCAGCACCACCAGGGTCACCGGCTTCTGCAGTGGCCACACACAGGCGTGTCAGGAGACAAGAGTGTCACACACGTACACGTACACGCCCCCTCTCTCACACACACACACGTACACGCCCCCTCTCACACACTCACACATGTACACGCTCCCCCTCACACACACACACACACACACACACGCGCGCGATTCGTGAGTACCCTGAGTGTCTGGGAGTACCCAGGACGCTGGTTCCAGCCACCCGTCCTCTTTATTTGTATTTATTTAGAAGGTTCCGGTAGCACAGTCGGATCCGTTCTCTACTCACAATCGAGAATTCCGGATTCGAATCACGGGCGAGAGAGAAATGGTTGGGCGCATTTTCTATCGCCTAATGCCACTGTTCACTTAGCAGTAAATAGGTACCCAGTTGTTAGTCGACGAAACGTTCAAGAAATTCAATACAAATTAACGTCGTCATGCAGAGGAAGCTTGTACCTAAGCTTATTGACGTCCCCCCCTCCCCCCCTCCCCCAGGCAAACTACCGACCTTCTCCAGGATGCAACATTTGCCTAACTACCTATTTTACGGCTGGGTGAATAGGTGCATCAGGTTAGAGGAAACGTTCCCAACCGTCTATGCCCTGGCTGGGGATTGAACGCAGGGGTCCCTCGCTTGTGATCCGAGGACGTAGTGACTGGCTCCTGAGCTACATGACTGGACAATAATGGTAGGCGTAGTGTGGATACTTCAACAGGAAAGCAAGAATAAGACAATTGTAACACGGCAGATTCTCAGACGCACTAACTGACGACAAATAGAAATATTGGAAATATGACTAGTGTGGGAGGAGGGGGTGGAACCCTAGAGGTAAAAAAAAGATGGCGGGAAGCATTTATTTAGCAGAAGGGCGTGATGGGGTGGGGGGAGACGGCTGAAGCAAATTCGGGTTAAGTTTCGTAGGCAGACGTAGTTAAAAATGAGTCTGGAGCATTACGAGATTGGCCGCTGGAAGGTTGTGGGCTTAGGAGCTAAATGAAGAAATCCACAAGGGCCGTGACGAGGATTCGAACCTGCGTCCGGGAGCATCCCAGACACTGCCTTAATTTGATGCATCACGTTAGTGTGATCTCTGTGTTTGTTAGGAGCTAAAGCTCTACCTTATAAGAATAACTGATTGTACTGGGCTTAGGAGCTAAAGCTCTACCTTATAAGAATAACTGATCGTGCTCACCACTTTGTTAGGGACCTCGACGCTGACGACCAGCTGGGAGTCGTCAATGGTCTTCTGGATCTCCATCGCGGCCTCGTCCATGGTGTTCTCGTCGAGTGGGAACTTGGCGTCCCCTTGTACTGTCGGCTTCTCCAGCAGCGTGAACACCACCTGTAGGGCTGCCGCTGTCTCCTCCAGCTGTCGACGAAACCTGTCGTTAGTGTACATGCTGTCGGGGGCGTCTGAGAGTTAAACAATGCTGGCTCCCCGCCCTTCCCAAGTATCCTCTTTCAAAAGTTTTCCACTGTTTTTATATAGTTTTCTTTCATATATTTCTTTCCCTTGCGCTTTCTCCCATCACTAATCATCTCTCCCTTTACTATTCCTTCTCTTTTATTTAGGTTCCCGTTCTCCTGCAGTTAGCACTCACCTCAATTCTGTTGATCCTGAGCGGAGTGACCTTGCCCACGTTGCTGAGAGACTCCATCAGGGCGTACTTCAAGTTCTCCCGCCTGTTGCTCACGAGCTTGAGGCTGTTGGACGGCATGTCGAACTGGAAGTGTCGCATCTGGTCGGGGCTGTAGCAGGTGGCGATGTCGTGCGTGTGGGTCGTCGGCACGTCGCTGTCGAACCCGTAGAAGTTGTGGGTGACGTGGGGCAGCTGGTCCTCCAGCTGCAAGTAAGTAATTATCAAAAGAAGGCACCAAACCGAGAAGGCTATGTAGCACCCTCCAGCTGCAAGCGAAGTGTGGGGGGTTCAGGGAGGTCAAGGAAGGTGCCACGGGTTTATGTCATAGGTCTACTGCGAGTGCCACGGACTGATATAAGGCTGTTGCCGGAGTGCTACTGGTGATGGATATGTTCTCCAGGGGGCCAGATTCACGAAGCAGCTACGCAAGCACTTTACGAACCTGTACATCTTTCCTCAATCTTTGACGGCTTTGGTTACATTTACTACACATTTTACAAGCGTGAAAATTTTTCAATCAACTGTTGTTATTGTTATAACCAGCCTCCTCGTGCTTCGGAGCTCATTAACTGTTTATTAATTGTAAACAAAACCGCGAAAACATCGAGAAAAGATGTACAGGTTCGTAAGTGCTTGCATAACTGCTTTCGTGAATCTGGCCCCTTCCCTGGCTGCAGCCCACAACAGTTACCTAACTCCTGGTTACCCATTTACTGCTAGTTGAACAGAGGCATCGCGTGAAAGAACACTGCTCAAAACGCTACTCTCTCTCAATGTGGAAGCCTTCGCATGTACACCAGATAAACACAATGTGCTCAACTTACCTGGGTAAAGTACTTCTCCATCTTGATGGGGACTTTATCAACCGTTGGAATCACAGGGAGCGGCGCCCCCGGGGCGGCCCCCAGTTTGTCGTAGGTGAGGGGCTTCACACCACAGAAAATGGTCGTGTTAGTAACGGTCAAAGAAAACGTGTACGATCAACGTCTAACTGCATTAAAACTAACATTGCTTTTTTTTCCTCAAATTTAAATTGTAATTTATCGGAAAACAACTCAATTTCCCAGTATGATATACGGGTTATTATAGTATATTAATGTATTAAATATAAATCTGCTTTAAAGCAGACGCTATAATACACCAATCAACAAGCGAGGGGTGAAAGCTGACTGTATAATAATACACCAAATTCTACTACTGACCGAAGCGAAGTACCAGACATAAGTTTCGTTAACTTTAAGTAGAAGGTTTTTCTTTATGCCGACCCAGACGTCAGCCTCCAGGCCGCGCTCCCAGTGCTGAAAACATCACGTCTCCTTAATACGGCGTTTATTGAACGTTATCAAATATATTTTCATCATATTCTAGAAAATAATTGTAAACAAAGGGCGGGGCCACTCATCAAGCACGACACGGGGGCCACTCATCAAGCACGACACGGGGGCCACTCATCAAGCACGACACGGGGGGCCACTCATCAAGCACGACACGACACGGGGGGGCCACTCATCAAGCACGACACGGGGGGCCACTCATCAAGCACGACACGGGGGGCCACTCATCAAGCACGACACGGGGGCCACTCATCAAGCACGACACGGGGGGCCACTCATCAAGCACGACACGGGGGCCACTCATCAAGCACGACACGGGGGGGGCCACTCATCAAGCACGACACGGGGGCCACTCATCAAGCACGACACGGGGGCCACTCATCAAGCACGACACGGGGGCCACTCATCAAGCACGACACGGGGGGCCACTCATCAAGCACGACACGGGGGGCCACTCATCAAGCACGACACGGGGGGCCATCAAGCACGACACGGGGGCCACTCATCAAGCACGACACGGGGGGCCACTCATCAAGCACGACACGGGGGCCACTCATCAAGCACGACACGGGGGGGCCACTCATCAAGCACGACACGGGGGCCACTCATCAAGCACGACACGGGGGCCACACAACAAGCACGACACGGGGGCCACTCATCAAGCACGACACGGGGGCCACTCATCAAGCACGACACGGGGCGACACGGGGGGCCACTCATCAAGCACGACACGGGGGGGCCACTCATCAAGCACGACACGGGGGCCACTCATCAAGCACGACACGGGGGCCACTCATCAAGCACGACACGGGGGCCACTCATCAAGCACGACACGGGGGGCCACTCATCAAGCACGACACGGGGGGCCACTCATCAAGCACGACACGGGGCGCCACTCATCAAGCACGACACGGGGGGCCACTCATCAAGCACGACACGGGGGCCACTCATCAAGCACGACACGGGGGCCCACTCATCAAGCACGACACGGGGGGGCCACTCATCAAGCACGACCCGGGGCCACTCATCAAGCACGACTCACAGCGCCGTTGTACTGCATGGCCTCGTCCAACTCCTCGAAGTTCCAGGGACTCTGCATGTACACGGAGCCGTCGGCGTCCACCCTCACGTCGCCCCAACTGGTTCTGTTCTGGATGGGGGTGATCTTGCAGTAATTCTGGCGGGTCATCATGACGTAGGCGAGACCTGGCAGATGGAAGAACGTCAGGTAAAGGAAGGCGTTTATGTCGTCTCCGGGAAAGTTATTACTTACTGCCGGAAGTTTAAAAAAAAACTAAATTTAAGATTTAACACTCACGCGACACCCTCGCCATCACCAAAACAGTCAACTCTAGGTAACAGTCACAGTCTATACTAGGTAAATTATCAGCGAGATTCTCAATTTGCATGTTTTAATTAAATTGACACTTTCAACTAAGTGTCAGTTTAGTTGAATGAACAGCAAATGTTCCGGAAACACTTTTTAAAAATCTGTGTGAACGTCAGAGCTTCTTGACTTCAGAAAACCTATCGGAAAAATTGCAGGGACATTAATAAGAGTTTTCAATGTGTAACTAGGCAAGTTTATGTATAAAATGCCTGATCAACCGAGTTGTGAGAGTCAACCCTGAGAATCGCTAACAGATGAATCCTGCCCCCCCCCCCCCCCACACACACACACACACACACACCAAAGAGCCAGATCTCAACACCCGCAAGCACAACTAGGTGAGTACACACACACGCACCTTGATTAAAATCATGGACAACAGAAGTGTAGTTCTCAAAGGATCTAGTGTTGTTGATCTGGCTGAGTGGGTTAAACTCCTGCTTGGTGATCCGCATCTTCCAGTCGTACCACATCTGGGGAAGACAAGTCAGGTGTGGCCGTGGCAATACAACGGGAATCATACCAGAAAGACAATTACGGGCTTTTCATGCCCGTGCCCCCTCTTGGGTGACTTAATATTCATCAATCAGAAAGACAACCTTAAGTTCCCTTTGGGCAACTGAAAATAGCCTTCGAACACTTCTCAATCTAGTACATTTTATTGAATTTAAAACAAGATAACACACACTCAAGAGGACTAAACTATTCTTTCCGGGTAAATTAGTCATTTAATGAATACTGGCTACTAGTACCGGATGGTGCCTACTAAATTATGTAGGCACAGTGGCACTTCTGGCCCCATCACGGCCCCATGGGTAGTGTGTGTGTGTGCCCAAGAAATTTAGGGATGCGGGTTCGATCCCGCCTTACGGTATTCCATCTCTCTATGACGCTTTATGCCAATCAAAAGCTTACCTTCATGGGAAACAGGCCACTGAACTTGATGGGGACTGTCTGGTTGTCGCCGTCAGGATAGGAGACTTCAACGGTCGTCACGATCTCAGCCTTGTAGGAGAAGCTGGTCGCTGTCTTGGGAGGGTCGAGGTAGGTTTTCCTGTCAGCACAGTACACGTGGGCTGGTGGCTGTTGACAAGAGAGGAGAGAACGTTGTGGTAAGGTGGGCGGGTAGGTGGTGATGTGGAAAGTGATAGGTGGGTAGCAACAATAACACGCTGTAGTGATAACCCTCATAACATTATCTCTCCCAACACACATACATACATCCTCTTCCATGCCCACAGCTTAGTCCAAATCGCCCCCTCCACTACACCAGTATACCCAGCCTCAACAGCCGACATTCTCATGTCCACACTAATACCCTTCTACCCCTCCTCTCACCTCCAGCTCGTCACGAGAGGGCGCCCAGTCTCGCCGGAAGTTGAAGAAGTCGTATCGCATAAGGACCTCCTTGACGGTGGCGCCGTTGTACTTGCCCGTGGCGAAGATGTCAACGGCGATGGGCACCTGTTCGCCATTGTTGTGCAGGTTCCAGTCCTCGGCTGTTGGCCAGGCGTGGGTGGCAGAGAGGCGCGGGGTTGACAGCGGCAAGGAGAAGCGAAAGATTATTGGTTGTGGTGGTTGGCAGCGATAGGTTGCCAACCACCTGGACATGGCACACAGTGCTATGTTACCAGGTGTTGAGGCGGGTTAACTGTTGCCATTAGTCTTTGTTGGGTAGGTCCATATAGATAGATAGTTCTGGGTGTGATAGTACTCTAAGAGTGATGAGCTTTAACTTTTAATGCAAGGAGAAAAATAAAAGTTTCTCTGATAGTCAGCCAATCCACCTGTTTAGAGAGTACTTATAGTAACACTGTGGACCATCGTACATATATTGACGTAATGGACAAGTAGATGGAATTTGGTACCACAGAATTTGGACAAACTGGAAAAGGTTTAGTATATTGCTAATAAAACCTAACCTAACCACCCTAGGCCTATAACACGCCGAGGCCTAATATAGCGCACACATGTGCTTTACTAGACCTAGGAATATTTAAACTTAGTTTAGCATTTATTCCCGGACTATAAAGTGAATAGTACCAAAATCTTCTTTTCTAATGACCCATAAAGTCAATATATGTACGATGGTGCACTCAGTTACAAAAACGGGATGAACCCAGGCGGTTAGGTTGGTGATGGTATCAGTCGCTAATGCCGGGACTAGAGATGGGAAAGTTGAATTATCTGAGCTTGATAAACATGTGGGCCGAAACGTTTTCCGTGAACAAGAGAGAAGATAGACCGCCAAGCAGCAGCAGCAACAGACGGGGGACGACAACGTTTCGGTCATGTGAGGCAAATTAACATCCATAACCAACCCGCAAAGAATGACAAAGGTTTCACCTCCGAACAAGAGACTCTTAAAGAGTGACACTCACTGGACCAGTAGTAGGTGTAGAGGACGCTCGACTCCTCCTCAGGGTTGTTGAGGCACGTTTCGAACACGTAACAGTCCAGGCCATGACAGACTTCGATTTCCTCACGTGCAGAGTAGTTGAACTGGGATCCGAACATGAGCAGTCCGGCCGCTCCCATGAAGCCTTGATCCCCAGACACGGACACGATCCTGTTACAAAACATCAAGTGGAATTAACAGGTTTAATCTTACTGGCAGAAGCCATTACGGTCTCATTGTAAACGTAAGTGAACGCTCTATGAACCGACATGCAAATGAGTTAGTTTTTTTTTTTATTATTTTCTACCACAGACGTCGCCACACATTTACAATGCTAAGCAGCATATATCCATTTTCTTCTGTCCTCCATGGACAGGGTTAGAGATGTGTTAAACATATAGTTCAAGGGTTTATTGAACAATCAGTGGGCACACACACTAGAACCTCTCTACCAAGACCAGCGGCATAAAATATATATTTATGTAAGCTATCAAATGTTTGTATGCATGTACATATGTATGAATGTACGTATGTGTATTTCCTGTGTTTGTATTAGTTATTGAAGGGCGTCACAAGACGATGGGCGTTACACATAAGTAATACGAGTAAACAACTTTGTGATATACACACCGTGAAGCAGAACATACATTGTGGTGTATACACCAATAACGTAATCAATGTAAAACAAACCAAGAAAGGCAGTTGGATCACTTTCTCTCTAATGTATTATACAATACTGTATTATATACAAATATTTATTACACGGTGTTCAAGCCATGATTTTATAATATACCATATCGTATATCTTTGATAATACTCAGTATACTTTAAGAACGCCTATACTTTCTGTAGCAACCATGTGTGATATACTATTATATATTCCAGCTTTAGTAACAAGCTTATTGTCTACTAGAAAACTAGAGTTTAGCAGCCACGGCTAACAAAGTCCCCCGAAATGTACTTCGAAGAGATTTATTGCACTATTCCCAAGTCAAATAAAAGATAAGTAATTACCAAAAAAAGACGCCGAGAGATAAAATGTCTAAAGTATTATTAAGTATGAAGAAGAGCGGAGAGCCACAAGGGAGGCCTGGCTACTTACCCAAACAGCTGTTGGATCTCCTTGTTGAGGTCGTCAATCTTCCCCGCCAGGCACTCTGTGTCTGTGGGTAGAGTACGTGGCTAGAGTACATGGGTAGAGTACGTGGCTGGAGTACATGGGTAGAGCACGTGGGTAGAGCACGTGGGTAGAGCACGTGGGTAGAGTACGTGGGTAGAGCACGTGGCTAGAGTACATGGGTAGAGCACGTGGGTAGAGCACGTGGCTAGAGTACATGGGTAGAGCACGTGGCTAGAGTACATGGGTAGAGCACGTGGGTAGAGCACGTGGGTAGAGTACGTGGCTAGAGCACGTGGGTAGAGTACGTGGCTAGAGTACGTGGCTAGAGTACGTGGCTAGAGTACGTGGCTAGAGTACGTAGCTAGAGCACGCGGGTAGGGCACAGGGGGGAAGTACGTGGGTAGGGCACAGGCGGAAAGTCCGTTAGAAGGACGGATAGGTAAGGAGGGATCATGGGTAGAGCCCGTGGGGAACACATCAGAAGGACACGTGGGTTATGTCCAGTATTTACTACTAATCAGTATTTACTCAGGTAATTCCCGAATCTAAACTCATTAAATTTGTATTACGGTGATATAATTTGAAATATAAATCATGAACGTGGGGCTGCGCGTTCATATGCGCGTGTACATACTGGAGTCACAGTTGTCGAGTCCGGTTACGGCGCAGCCTTCGTTCGTTAGGATGAAGAGCGCCTCGTCCATCCGGATATTGTAGTGGATGAGCTCGGAGAGAAGGAACGGACGGTCGGCCAGAATTCCATCATCTGCAGCGTAGATAACCCCATCAGTGAAGGTAGGAGGATTGTGGGAGGCTCTGCTCTTAATTGGAAGGGAAGCCACAGGGTAGAAGAAGCTGTTAATGGGGTAGGCCCCCTGACGGAGAATTAATGGAGAGGATTGATTGATTGATGAAGATTAAGCCACCCAAAAGGTGGCACGGGCATGAATAGCCCGTAAGTGGTGGCCCTTTTGAGCCCATTACCAGTATCATTAGATGATACTGGAGATCTGTAGAGGCGCGACTGCACCCTGCGTGACGGGAGATGTCTCCCGTGAATGGAGAGGAATAACAAATTTCAATATATAATGCGCACTGCTCCAAGACCGAGGTTTACGGGCTATTCATGCCCGTGCCACCTCTTGGGTGGCTTAATCTTTATCAATCAAGACCGAGGTCAGGAGCGGACAAGATCATTTCATCAATAAACTGTGACTTAGCATCGCAGGAAGAACCAGGTGTAGCAAGATGGAAAAAAAGGACAAATTTTGCTAAAATAATTACTAATATAATTACAAGTAAATAATTAGAGATATACGACGACGACGACTACCAGACTTACTGAAATAATAGTCGAGAACGCCTCGCTCGTCAAGATGGCTGTACATCTCAGTTCCATATATTACGAACTGCTGATCTGGTTCCTGGAAGGTGATCTCCAGCTCCGTTATGAACGAACTGGGCACCGATGGCATCGTGGCTGTTAAGTAAACGAGGAGTTGTTAGTGAATGGTCGTCTGTACATCAATACACAAGTGTTGACGTCTGAGACGCCCAATATATGGTCCTCTGTGCATCAACACACACACACACACACACACACACACACACACACACACACACACACACACACACACACACACACACACACACACACACACACACACACACACACACGTACGTCTCCACATTTCACACTGTGCCACTGCAGCTTTATAACATGGTTGAAAATACAATCTCTCTAAACGTTGTTAATATAATAGAACAAAGTAGAATATTTAGGTTCACGGTGTGTGCTCCCAAGAAGTGGAAGCATTATATATGTCTACTATTGAATGTAATATACTGCAGAGGCATATTATACCATCTCGCTTGTCAGTTTTTTACGGCACCCCACATTCTCACAATGTATAATAATGTTAGTGACAAGATCACGAAATATGGATATCAAGTCATTAATATATGCTCCTCTCTCCATCCATCCATCCCCCACCACCCCTGTCCCTCCCTACGTGACACTTACGAGCGTTGGGTGGTACTGGGTGCTGAACACATCTTTTGTCATCCTTGAACCTCTGCCTATAGAGCTCCAGCTTGGCCTCTGTGTCCTCCCCGTTCCTGGCGACTCTCTTCTTCAGGGGGTCCCTGGGGTTCCGGTTCATGGGGTCCCGGTCAGCAGAAGAGGGCATCAAGGCTACCGCGAGGATCAGCAGCATTAGGAGAGGGCTGCGAGACGCCATCGTGACCTCGGCTCTGACGTCGCCTGTAGGAACGGGAGGGGTACCGGTGAGAAAGGTTTTGGGACCGTACTGGTCCGTGTTTATGCGCGTGCGAATTTACTTCATTGTAATCTAAGTTAGGTTATATCTTCCTATGTAATGACTCCCGACCCACTAGACTTCTATGTTGCTTGTAGTGTGGTACTAGCCTCGACCACCAACTCCTCCAGTATCATTCAAATTAGTCACAAAGCTTAAGCTAATGAGTGTTTTTTTGCCTGTGGCACGAATGTGAAGCAGACTCGCATCCTTGAGCTCTTGATCTAGGTTGTTCAATGAAGAATGAAGTATAGTGTATGTGAGAATGATATGATTACTGTGTCTTGTTGCCTTCTTGCATTGGTCAATACTTGACCAAATGTGATACTTGCATATTAAATCATTTTGTGTAAAAACTAAATGCATATAATTACTGTATACTCAGTATATGACCTATTAATTCAATTTGCATTGGTCAGACGATGTATTTGTGATCACTACGCTTACTAAGGGTTTATGAATGTACTAAATTGGTGTTTGAAAATGTATTTTGTATACATCTCTTTTGTCCTCTAACTGTGTCTTAAAGGCATGCGCGTTCACACTAGGAGAATATTAATTATTTAGGATAACAGCTTTATATCACACCATTAACCTGGCAGACGAGCAGTTTCGTGCTGCCCCCCCCCCCTGGCCTACTGTATTATACACCACAACAATATTACCATCCACGCAGTGCTCCTACTTTTGGCATTCCTAGACGACATTTGAGTGTCTGCTCTCTACCACCGAAATAGAGTTTTTTTCACGCACCTTAACACAACCACTATACTGATTACTCTACACAGAGCTGTGAAGGTGTTCCCAGAGCCAGAGCTGGCGTTGAACTGTGCAGGTGAAGTGGACGAGAGTTGAACAACGCCCCGACATTGGCACTACCTCCCCCCCCCCCCACCCCACCTACATTGGCCCCCCCCTCCCATCTGGCACAATCTAGATACCTTCCCTCTGGCACTATCTAGCCCCCACCTGCAACAAACACGCCTCACCTGCCCTGACATGGACACACACCTGCTTGATACCTGCTTGATGGGGTTCTGAGAGTTGTTCTACTCCCCAAGCCAGGCTTGACTTCTGTTCCATCAGCGTGGGTTTGACAGTGTTGCTGGGAGGGGGGGGGAGGGGGGGGTGGAGGAACAGTGCCGGCAACACTATAGACCCCTTATCACTGTAACAACAATCACTTACGCCCCTCTCGTTATCTCCAACACTGATGATGCTCCTGCTGCCACCACACAACCATAAATTACCACCATCTACTCCCGCCACAACTATCACCACCCTCACAACCATCACCAAAACAACCACAACAGTAATTACGGTACCACAACTACCACAACATTGGTCATCACAATAATAATCACATCAGCGACGTAACACCAACGACCACAACATCAATTTCCAACTAGGGATAATATATGTATCCACCACACCATCTACCAGCACAACCACCATCGTAACCTCAGCAACCTCAACACCACAACCATTGCCATCACCACAATCACCACCATCTATTTCATTACACGTTTAGCGAATTCTTCCCTATTTCAAGGTCTAATAACTAGCTTCCAATTCATTCCTTATAGATTTTATTACATATTTTAGCGCGAATTATTAATTTGGGTTTTGTTTAGCGAATGGGGGCGACTTGATGTCAATGACCGCGTCTGTGGGCGTGTTTGTGTAAATAAAGTTTAATATTGTTGTGGCTGCTGAAGTCTGATAAGGTTCACGTGATTCCAATTCTAGTTTAATGGTCACAGATAACACTAAACTGAGCTGTTTGCTCACGCTGTTCAAGTTCACTACGAAACTTAATTATGTAAGTATTCTATAACCTTAGGAAAATTCCACTACGATGTTTAGGGGATGCAAACTCCATTCACAGCTTTAAATGTAATGATAGAGCCCAAATAGGGCTCTGAAGCAAACATCAGTCGATTAAGGGTTGAGAGGTGGGACCCAAGAGCCATAGCTCATCCCCTGCAAATACAACTAGGCGATTATAATCGCTGACCACACCTCTCCTACTCACAGTGAAGGAACAAGTGGTGAAACTGGGATAATTAGGAGGGAAAGGTTCACTGAGAATGACAGCGTAGTGTGTAAGAGGAACTAGAGATATTCCAAGTCGTCTTCAAAAAGAGCCAGAAAATGCGTGAGCTGAGAGAGGTGGCATTTACCCAAGCAGCCTAACAGGAATTTAAGATTACCAGTAGTGAGGTAAGGAAGCATTTGCTGGAACTGGAAATGCCGAAGGTTGTTGAACCAAAGAAAACTCTCAACGTGGATACTAAAAGAAGGAGCAGAAGCACTATTCTGGCCACACACTCAACAGTAATAGTCAATGGGAACAGGAGACCTACCAGGAAGTTCGAAAACAGGAGGCACTGAACTGCGCGAGTGTTCCTTAACTTCCATACAAGGTGACGGTTAAGATGTGAGAAAAAGGCCAGCAGCAGCATCATGGCCGGGGGCCAGATTCACGAAGCAGTTCCGCAAGTACTTACGAATGTGTACATCTTTCCTCAATCTTTGATGCCTTTGGTTACGTATATTAAGCGTTTCCAAGCATGAAAAACTAATCAATCAACTGTTATTGTTATAAACAGTCTCCTGGTGCTTCGGAGCTCATTAACTGTTTAATAATTGTAAACAAAGCCGCGAAAGATTGAGAAAAGATGTACAGATTAGTAAGTGCTTGCGTAACTGCTTCGTGAATCTGGCCCCGGATCTATAAGGGGAAACAAAGGGGGTAAACGACCCCCACCTTCCCTTCCCCTGCAAGACGAGGCCTCCCCCCTAGACTTCTTATACAAACAAAATGTAATAATTGTGATTCGTTTGAAAATCTTGTTGCTGATCGTGAATAGAAACTGAAAATATAACTATTGTTCTTTTGCTCGGTTTAGTGTAATAATATATTATATACTGCAGTATAACAAGATAAACTTAGCACGGATGTGCATAGTTTAAAACAAAGGCATCACGATACTTCATAACTGATCGCCAGTAATAATTCATATCACTTTTAGTCTATATTACAAACTAAAAAAATGTTGTCAGTTATTCTTAACTATGCAGATGAAAAGTCACAATAACGTGGCTGGAAAATGTCGACCAAACCACACAATCGACTTGAGAATGGTTCAGGACGGACCGAAACGTCGTCGACTCTTCAATTTCTAGTGTGTGGTCTGGTCAACATCACTCCTTAGCTAATAATACTGAGAAAACCCAAAATCCGACAAGTGTCTGCTTCGGACTAACATCTTCTCGAATACATGCAGCTTTATCACCATTGTAGTTCACTTGTTTTATTTGTCTCCAAGTGGTTGGGCACCATTCCTCACCCCCCGTCCCATCCCAAATCCTTATCCTGATCCCTTCCAAGTGCTATACAGTCGTAATGGCTTGGCACTTTTTCCCTTGATAGTTCCCTTCCCTTGTTTTATGTCATGTCATTTAATTTCCATGTAGAGGGCCTCCCGAATTTGTAGTAGCCCAAGTCCCCCAAAGGTCTAAGTCCGGCCCAGAGTAGCACATCTCTATAAGGAACGTTCGTAGGACACAAACACGCGTTTAAAGATGGTCAATCTTGCCTCACAGGTTTAATATAAATCTATGAATAGGTGAAGAAAAAAATTGACAAAAAGGGTGGGTAGACTATATATATGTGGACTGCCTGAAGGCCATTAACACAGTACCCAATAAGAGATTAGTGTACAAGTTGGAGAAGAAGGCAGGTGTTGCAGAAGGCACTCCAGTGGATGAGGATCCATGACCTCTCCTGTTTCTCTTATATAAATGATCTCCCAGAGGCAACAGGCCCATTCCTCTCAAGGTTTTACGATTAGACAAAATATAAAGATTAAGGCAAAAGGAAGACAGCAAGAGACAAGATGACCTGGACAAACAATAGTGCCACATATGGCTACTGTGCTGGAGCAACACGGGACCAGAACACAAGGTGCCCCATGGAAGTGAAATCCTTAGAGATCCTGGGGTTGACATCGCACCGAACCTGTCTCCTGAGGACAGGAGAATTTGCAGAGACATGATTACCACATACAAAATTCTCAGTATAATTATTAGGATAGATAAAAACATTCTTTAGCATGGGTGAAGGGGACACTGATGGAAACGGTAATCGAATGAACCAGACACATTACAAATCATTTTTTTTCAGTGCCAGTTAAATGGAATCTACTAGGAAGTGATGTGGTAGAGGTAGATTCAAACGTAGATTAGAGAGCCTAAATGGCTCAGAAACCTGAACACCAGTAGATAAGAAGCCGGGCTAGAGAGCCGATGTTCAACCTCCCACAAGCACAATTAGACGAGTACACCAACACTGCCCCCCATCCCCCCCCCACACACACACACGCAAACTTCCTCTACTCAACCCCCCCCCCCCTCGCACACTAACCCTGGTCAAAGGCATCGGAAACCTGTACACCAAGACTCAGGAGCAGCAGCAGCTCCCTCCACCAAGCAAAGCTAGCCGAGTGGTACCAGGTCAGCTCGGCCAGCACGCTATCAGACACGCGAATACGCTATCAGCGGTTGTCAGCCACCTGTAACAGGCGTATCAAGGGGGCGTGAGTAGGCGGCGGCGGCGTCCTCGACCAGCACCCGGCCGCATTGTTATTCGTGTGGTGGCCGCGTCGGAACCCAGAGGGGAGGACGAGAGCCAGGCGCCAGTACCCGACACGGACACTACGTGAATACAGACGCCTTGGTCAGCGCCTCAGGGCTCCTCTTGCTGCTCCAACTCATTGCTACAGATCCTAAGGGTTTTTATGAGACACAATGAAGGTGTGTGTGGGGTAGATATGGAGTGTGGGTGGGGGTGGATATGGAGTGTGTGTGGGGGGGGGATATGGAGTGTGTGTGTGTGGGGGGAGGAGTGGGTATGGAGTGTGTGGGGGGAGGAGTGGGTATGGAGTGTGTGGGGGAGGAGTGGGTATGGAGTGTGTGGGGGGAGTGGGTATGGAGTGTGTGGGGGGAGTGGGTATGGAGTGTGTGGGGGGAGTGGGTATGGAGTGTGTGGGGGGAGTGAGTATGGAGTGTGTGGGGGGAGTGGGTATGGAGTGTGTGGGGGGAGTGGGTATGGAGTGTGTGGGGGGAGTGGGTATGGAGTGTGTGGGGGGAGTGGGTATGGAGTGTGTGGGAGGAGTGGGTATGGAGTGTGTGGGGGGAGTGGGTATGGAGTGTGTGGGGGGAGTGGGTATGGAGTGTGTGGGGGGAGTGGGTATGGAGTGTGTGGGGGGTATGAGGTGCGTGTGGGGGGAATGGGGTATATGTGTCAGGGGGGGATGGGGTATGTGTGGTGGAGGAAGTCGAGTGTGTGGGGGTGGGTGGGGGATATTGGGTTTGTGAGGGGAGAATGAATTTTGGTGCAAAATTTACAATCTGTTCAGCATATCAATAATCCCAATTTTCATGAACTAGGAGGAAAAATAATAATATGCCTGTAAACTGCTCTTAAATATGCTTTTTATGCATGTAAACTGCAAACCCCTGTTGAGACTTCATGTAAACCTGAAAAGCACATTACAGATACAATTTCTTCACACTCGTGGCGCCCCAACTCACCCAAGTCCCACAAAACAGTTCCACAGCCTGACGGCGTTGTCAGCGACGGTGGTGGCGATGGCCTTGGTGGCAGGGGTGGTGGTGGTGGCAGACAGCGAGGCTCACGGTAAAGGATTCGACCGCAGGATCACGCAGCAGGAGCGGGAGGAAATCTTCAGGAGGATGGAGCTGGAAGAGGACCTACCCTGTGTCCCGCCAGTCGACCCGCCCTCCAACTCTAGTAGGTGGTAGAGTGGAACGATGAATGAGTGCGTGGATGGATGGGTGGATGGATGGACAAGAAACGAATGGAAAGGGTTTCCCAGATGGGAAGTGGAGGGAAGAATTACTCACTAACGTGAGCGTTGTGCTAATTTAATGATGCTTATTTTTATTAAAAACCATCTCAGGCAAAAATGACGTGAAAAGATGTTATTTTGAATAATCTTCAAATTAGTTTTTCAATATTAACTCGTGTGAAACATTGTACAACAATGTTTTAAGAATTAGTTTTTTTTCCATTAAAAGCTGTACTATATTTAAAAGAAGTTTTCCCCAGGATATCTGTCAATATTCAACTATAGCTCCACCATTACCCAAGACGAGATTAAGACGGCGTGTCACCCCTCACAGAGACTCTGCCTGCGATGCCTGACTCCTTCACCACCAACGTGGAGATCGCCTTGCAAGACGAGAAGGCTCACCTCGTTATCTACGGAGCGGAGACCTTCGACGGCGTCTTCAACAGCGGCGTCCTCATGTACCAGTTGGGTGAGTCTCCTGTATGTCTTGTGAGTGAGGGGTAATTACTTCTACACTTCTCCAGTGGGTGGGTCTCTTCTTCCAACCACATGTCAGTGTGAGGTGGCTGTGGATCAGTTGAAGGCGATCTGAAACAATGTAGAAATGTGAAGTTTTTTTAGCTCTTAATGGACTATTAAGGGAAGCATACAAGCCAAGAACACAACTGGGAACTTCTTAATAATATCTAGATTACATTAAATCCCCTTCTTGAGCACGCGACACACCGGGAAGTATTTGAAGATATATCTTGTATATATCATAGTAAGATATATGCTTGCGTCTATGACTATTTTCCGTGTAGTGCTCATGCACTTGCCTGACCAGTGGCAGTCTACTTACACTTAAAATGGCTCGGCACCGAGGCACTTGTTAAGTGACGCTAAAACGTACTTTAATGACTTTGGGGAATGCTAGACTGATCGGTACAGCAATGGACTCGCTTCTTGCAAATAGGCGTTCGATCCCCGACAGTCCAACAGGTTGGGCACCATTCCTTCCCTCCCGTCCTCATATTCCAGATCATCTCCCTATATCCCTTCCCTATGCTATATAGTCAAACTGGCTGAAGATCTTTCTCACACTTTCCTCTCAAGAAAATCTGAAGGTACTGCTTGTAATGACACTTGTCTTATATGAGAGTGTCCAGGCGAGGATTTGTGTGTGTGTACATAAGTGTGTGTGTAGTGTGGTAGGAGGTTGTATGACTCTCCACCACTGGCCCACAGGCGAGGGCGTGATCGCGTCGAAGCCATTCACTATGGACGAGATCATACACTACGACGTGCCTCACGACGAAGCCCTCTTCATCGTCACAGACACGGCCTGCGAGGACACGTCTGACGGCTCCTGTGATCCAAGTGAGTCACGTCTTCTGCATTATCACTCTCTTACGTACCCACTCCCAGTTGGATGACCCACACTCACCCGTGCCTACTCTCCCTGTTGAATGACCACACTCACCCCCTACCCACAGAAAAGACATGCGAGGCGCACGATCTCAAAACCCTCAGTGCGATCATGGAGGAACTCTTCGCGCTGGGAGCCCAGAACGGCGACGGGGGCTACTTCGGGACGGTGGGGGTCCTTAACTGGGGCCCGACGCTCGAGTACGTGTACCTAGAGAAGGCGGACTGCCGGGGCATGGTATGTGACAAGTTCCAGGCCTGCATCACCGACGCCGACCAACAGTCTACGGTCCGCATCACCTACTTCTGGTCTGGTCAGTAAACTTTATGTTTCTCTCGTTGACAAGTCTCTCTCGTCTTCATTTCAGAAAAATACAGGTGGCCTATTGGCCAAAAGGAGGCAGCTCCTATTTATATCTAACTTATTACCATCTTTTGTTGCGTTATTTGTCTTTAGTCACACCAATAGAAGGGTTTATAATTGACTTAATGAAGATAATTAATGTTCTAACAATTCTATCCCTCAAGAATACATTACGCAAGAATGGTGATCATTAACTTAGTCCCTAGAATCTTAAGTATTCTTTATCCCTGATTCTTTAGTAGTAGACATCCATCAGTCTCAGGAGACTGATGCATGCCTACTACTAAAGGCATATATATATATATTCTTATATATAAATAAGAATATATTTATATATTCTTATTTGTAAGAAGTTTATATATATTCTTTATATATAAACAAACGGGACCGTTTGACCCTAAAGTATACTGTGGCACGTCTGACTACAGATAGCAAGTGGCACGTAGCGAACAACGGAATGTCCGTGCCGGTAGCCGTGGAGGTCCATTCAAATGGCAAGGTCGGCAATCTGTTCACCCAAGCAGTGAGGCAGCGCTTCGACTTCTACGAGTTCCTGAGGGACTTCAGACCCAGCGTGGAGGAACTAGCGGTGAGTAGTGCACGACCCAGAGGCGGGGCGCCACCCGCACTGATCTGGGTTGCCTTTTTCAGCCCAGCTGGGAATATATTCATCCACATGCAGACGAGGAGTCACAATACCGTGGCTGAAATAGGTTGACCAAACCACACACTAGAAAGTGAAGGGACGACGACGTTTCTGTCGACTTGATAGACTTGAGAATGGTCCAGGACGGACCGAAACGTCGTCGTTTCGGACGTCGAAAAGTCGTCCTTTCACTTTCTAGTGTGTGGTTTGGTCAACATATTCTATTTTATTTACTAATTAGTAATCTACAAGAATGCATTCCACTCGGGAATTTATATTCCTTGGAATAATAAAAATGAAAGCATCCTTTACTATTTTAACATAATCTGTGTTTTAAGAGTTATAAAATAAACTCGTTTAATAACACCCTCCATAGCTACCTCATCCCTTTGTATTTATACCTCGATAAACTTATTTTAATTCAGTATCTTAATAGCTGCTGACTCGGCACCATGTCCTCTCGAGTTGCCACAACGTCCAAAATACAGGGGTATAAAAACACAGGAAACTTAACCTAAAATGCACGGTTGACAACGTGGTTTGGGAGCTGTTGTGATATACATATATTGCGCCATATTTTCTCCGTTGGGGGATTTTGACGTCAAAATGCGATCTATTCTGAGAGCGGAGAGCTTGACCTGCTCACACAATTAACTCTGAAAGCCGTAGACTTAAAAATAATACATTAGCATATGTAATTGATTATAGCCTAGTTACCCGTTGTATAGCTGGCATCTTCAACACTAACCAGTAGTTAAGACGTACGACACTTGAAGGTGAGGTGATCAGTAGCACACCCTCACGTCTCGTACGATCACACTGTAATCCTACTGGAGACAGGAGGGTGGAACCACGGAGCAGCCGCCCCTCCATACCTGCTACCCGACTGACCGCCTCACTCAATCTGCTCCATAACCTGCGTAGACTAGGGTCATTTTGGCCACAGTTGCGCAGCCTATGGCGTCTCGGTACAAGACGTCTAGTGGTGAACTGTTGACCTTTTAGCCTGTGAAAACAAAATGCCGTCGGGTTCACAACATGTAAGTCAAATGCTGACTTTGGAAAATCTACGTGTCAGTATTTGACTTATAACATGAGCCTGAGCAACCCGTCCTCGACTCAAGTCCATTCCATCCAACGGTCGACCCCCACAGACGCATTCATAAATTTGTATATGCTGTTCATTCAAAACGGGAATTTTCTCAAACAAATTATTATTATAATATATTAGCATATAGTGCATATATATATAGGCATAGGATAAGTTAGGTTAAGTGTTTAGGTTCTGTTGGCGATTATTTATATTTGTAATATGTGGGTGAAGCATTTACAGCGTTGTGGTTCGAACAAAAGTCGTCAGCGAAGCACTTGTTCCGGAAGTGTTCGAACGTCATCAGTTGTGAGTCGTGTGTAAACCTTTTTAATTCATAATCAGCGGGTTTGGCGTGAGGATGGAATCACTTTTGGGTCTTGGTTTGGAGGACGGACTGGGATGGAATAGACTTTGGTTGCGTCGAAACACTTCTCTAACAATGCTTCGCTAACGACCTTTCCTCTAATCACAAATCTGCAAACGTTTTAAAACAAACATTTTAATAAATGTTTACTTATACAAAACATTTATTTATAAATATTTTAATTAAAAACAAACATGTTCTAAAGTTTTCATGTATTTAATCATTGATTCCCTCCGTCTCTCTCTCTCCTTTCCGTTCCCTCAATCCCACTTTCTCGACCCTTTACAATCTTTACAATCACGTGGTTCAACGCCTGCCGACACCTTCCTTCTCGCCCTACACTACCTCTACTAACCCGAGCTCGCCTCCATATCCCCCCCCAGCCACCAGCTGATGCTTACTGCAAACACCGCAAGTCGTCCTACTACCCTCCGGTGGTCCCGTACTACTTCTCCTACGACTCCGAGGCGGTAGTTGGGGTCGATATCAATTGGCCTCTTGCAGACAACGAGTCACTTACCTTCCAGTTCACTATAGTTATTAGTCAGCAGGTTAGTCATGAGCACCAGTCGACTCCTGTGACCACTTGGTCTGGGTGTCATAATGTACGTCTGTTTCTGTCTGGGCGTCACACTGTACGTCTGTTTCTGTCTGTGTGTCAGAGTGTGTTCGCTCTGACAGTCCACTGGTAGTTTTAAATCAATAAATCTACGCAATTCCTGGCGCCTGTATTCTAAACCAGTGTCAGGGGAAAAATCTATGCAATTGTCTATTTAAAATTACAAAAAATAATAACGAATTCATTAATCGTCTACATAAACGTAAGACGAGTGCTTTTAGTCACACTATACATAATATTTGTCAATATAGATACGATTGAAGTGTGATTTAGTCATTATATTCATAATTTAAGTATCTGTTACCTTGAGGTTACCCTGAGGTATTTTCGGGGCTTAGCGTCCCCGCGGCCTGCCCGTCGACCAGGCCGTCGACCTGTGGCTATAGGTTTATTTTCCAGTTGGCTATAATGACAGAGGCTCAAATAACAGCAGTAGGCCCAAAAAATATGAATGCTTTAGTTTAAGGTGGTGAGGAAAGTCAGGGATAGGTTTGCACTTCAGGAACACTACGACTGGGAGGCGAAGGTGGTGGTGGCAGACTACATCCCGTGGTACATCTTCGGCGACACCTACCGCTACGACCACGAGACCAGGCGCATACAAGACTTCAACCAAGGTTCTTGTGCTCGTTGTTCAGTGTCTTGACGCCGCTTATACTCCCCATTATCTCTCTCTGGGCTCACCATAGCCCGTGCTACTTGGAACTTTTTGTTCCAGCTAGCGAATCTTAAACAGCAACAACAACTCTCTCTCACTTTTCCCCATTAGGTCAGGGTTAGAGGTCCATGTCACAATGCTCTCCAACCATGGCCCGAGGCCCCTCACAAGTCAAAACAATAATTCCAATTAACAATTTACTGATTTTGCTTTATCTTCAGCCTTTTAAGACCTCTTAAAAATGCTGCCGTCCCCTCGTCTCGGCTGATCTAAGATTGGTGTTCAGGTCTGGAGTATTACATCGAGAAGCGCCTCAACAACCGCTGCATATACGGACCCATCGAGAACACGACCAGCGCGGGTGACGTAGTGGTTAATGATGACGGCTCCGTCTCCCTCCTGCCTCCCTGGATCTTCGAGAACCTGGACGAGCCCATGCAGTACAACGGTGAAGTGAGTCCCCTTCTCTCCACCCTTGATTGGTAAACATTATGCCACCCAAAAGGTGGCACGGGCATGAATAGCCCGTAATCTCCAGCCTTTGTAACGTTACTCTATAAGTACTTAAGTAACCATGTGATTGATCGTATAAATATGGACGTGATGGACCAATAGAAAGTTGTATTAATGAATTTGGACAAATCGCTAAAGTTTGTCTATGTTGCGAATGAAACCTAACCATCATAGGCCTAATATATTAGAATCATGCGCTATATTAGGCCTACTAATATTCAAATTTAGTTTTTAGCTTTATTTTTTTCCGGACTATAAAATGAAAAGTACCAAATTCTACTTTTTATTTGGCCATGTCAATATTTGTACGCTCGTCCGCATAGTTACAAAAAGTAATATTTTATCAGGAGGATGGGTTGTGCTCTCTCTCCCGCCTCCATTTGGGTACCTGGTCCTACCTAAAGGTTGCATTTTGAGTCCTCTATTCTACCTGTGATTCACAGTTTTGAGTTGCCCATTTTTCCATAAGAAATGTGCTTAGGCTTGTCTCTTATTTTGGTTTGGGGCCCAAGGTCTATTAACCGCATGTGAGTTATCAAGGTCTATCAGCCGCGGGAGAGTTATCAAGGTCTATCAGCCGCGGGAGAGTTATCAAGGTCTATCAACCACAGGAGGGTTATTAAAGCTATCACATCAGCTATTAACCACCTAAGCCAGTATCCCTTAACTCTGAGCACAGTAAAAAAAAACGTTCCTCTGATTACCTTACTTTTCTTAGCCCGAATCATTAATTATATTAAATGTGTATGATGTCAGACTTCCTGCCAATTATTAATAATGATATATTATTGACCTTATACCCTGTGAAGAGCAGTTTAGTAACCAGGACCCGGATTCACGAAAGAGTTACTCAAACACTTACGAACGTGTGCATCTTTCCTCAATCTTTGACGGCTTTGGTTACATTTATTAAACAGTTTACAAACATGAAAACTTCACAATCAACTGTTGTTATTGTTATAAACAGCCTCCTGGTGCTTCGGAGCTCATTAACTGTTTAATAATTGTAAACAAAGCCGCCAAAGATTGAGAAAAGATGGACAGGTTCGTAATTGCTTGCGTAACTGATTCGTGAATCTGGCCCCTGGCAGCAACTTGGCTGACATGTTCCCACCAACAGCACTCGGCTCGCGAGTTGCCGGCGGATGTGTGGATCGGACTCAAGAGGGTTAAACCCACCATCTTCGAGGAAGACTACGTATGGTATTACGCCTCGGTGAGTTACCATGACGTCCTAGCCTCTTAAGGCTGTGGCGTTCTCTTCAATGTTATAATTACTAGGTTGTACATCCATTCACTTAACACTTTCACGCCACTTTCACTATTGGCTTATATCTTATCCACTTTGGGTTCACCTTATCCACGCTCGAGTTTAGCATTTTAATATCCGTTGCTTCACTAGGATTAATATTATGCAGTGTGATATATATTTTGTACGTGTATGTGTGAATGCCAGCTATCTGTATAGTGTGTAGCAGTGGTGCCAGTTTCTCGCCCCTCGTTACATAGTGATGGCATTGGGATAGTTTAGCTTTGTCTTGTAAACAAGACTACGGGATCACTGGAGAAGCTTTCTTGTAGTATAGTGTGGGGCAGGAAGCAGTGTACAAGTTCTTACGTATACAGCTACTGATTCAGATTCTTACAGTAGGAACAGTGGTATAGTACAGTAATTAAACACAGTAAAGTATAGCAGAGAGAGAGAGAGAGAGAGAGAGAGAGAGAGAGAGAGAGAGAGAGAGAGAGAGAGAGAGAGAGAGAGAGACAGAGAGACAGAGAGACAGAGAGACAGAGAGACAGACAGACAGACAGACAGACAGACAGACAGACAGACAGGCAGACAGACACACTAGGTAAGAAAATCAAAACAGACACCCATGGGGTGTCAATATCAATGTATTCTGGCCATCTTGGCTTACCGTTGACTAATGCAGGGTTCTTCCGCAGCCCTTCATCCTGGGTGAGAGGGACAGGAAGACCTCGCAGGGAAACGTGAAGGCCTTCAGAAACGCCTTAAAACTAGAAGAGACAGTTGCCCTGAGCCAGGAGGAGCTGTGGCGACGCGTCATGGCAGAGGGCATGACTGGTGACATCCTATCGCTGGACAAGGTTCCCCTGAAGATGGAGAGATACCTCAATATCGTACGTCACACTCCCATGCTTTTCCTTTTGTACAATATTGTAATTATCAAAGGAATGCACCAAGCCGGGAAGACTTATTATTAGCACCTGTTTCGTAGAATATTCATATTGTACAGTATTGTAGTGAATGTAGAACATGTATTGTATATATATATCATTAAAGATATTTAAATATTACCTACATTAGTCGGGTGCTGTTATATTCTGTGGATAGGGTTTTAAAATTTTATTAATTTTTTTTTCGTTGAATGCATGTATTCTCACGGCAAACATTTTTGAAAAATACTGTACTGTGTGTGTCTCCTGGTGTGTGTGTGTCTCCTGGTGTGTGTGTGTCTCCTGGTGTGTGTGTGTCTCCTGGTGTGTGTGTCTCCTGGTGTGTGTGTGTCTCCTGGTGTGTGTGTGTCTCCTGGTGTGTGTGTGTCTCCTGGTGTGTGTGTGTCTCCTGGTGTGTGTGTGTCTCCTGGTGTGTGTGTGTCTCCTGGTGTGTGTGTGTCTCCTGGTGTGTGTGTCTCCTGGTGTGTGTGTGTCTCCTGGTGTGTGTGTGTCTCCTGGTGTGTGTGTCTCCTGGTGTGTGTGTGTCTCCTGGTGTGTGTGTGTCTCCTGGTGTGTGTGTGTCTCCTGGTGTGTGTGTGTCTCCTGGTGTGTGTGTGTCTCCTGGTGTGTGTGTGTCTCCTGGTGTGTGTGTCTCCTGGTGTGTGTGTCTCCTGGTGTGTGTGTGTCTCCTGGTGTGTGTGTGTCTCCTGGTGTGTGTGTGTCTCCTGTCTCCTGGTGTGTGTGTGTCTCCTGGTGTGTGTGTGTCTCCTGGTGTGTGTGTGTCTCCTGGTGTGTGTGTGTCTCCTGGTGTGTGTGTGTCTCCTGGTGTGTGTGTGTCTCCTGGTGTGTGTGTGTCTCCTGGTGTGTGTGTGTCTCCTGGTGTGTGTGTGTCTCCTGGTGTGTGTGTGTCTCCTGGTGTGTGTGTGTCTCCTGGTGTGTGTGTGTCTCCTGGTGTGTGTGTGTCTCCTGGTGTGTGTGTGTCTCCTGGTGTGTGTGTGTCTCCTGGTGTGTGTGTGTCTCCTGGTGTGTGTGTGTCTCCTGGTGTGTGTGTGTCTCCATGGAGTTCGAATTATGTGTGTACTAAAAATGCTTCTTTAAGAAAATATATATTTCCAGTTTTCCTTTCAATTTTATCAAAGTAAATTTCGTCGTGCCTCTAAGCGTCCTTCACTCTTCCTGCCCAAGCTTTACTAACAAAACTTATTTATTTTCATCTCTGCCCTCCCTCCCTCCCTCCCCCTGTACCACTCCATCACCAGCCCTCTGACATCATCCACGCTTGACGTCACTGTGTATCCCAGGACATCACTGAGACAAAGATTAACACGATATTGTACCCCCACAGATGGCTGGCTACCCACATCTCATCTACAACATGTTCAACTACCAATACGAACCACCTATGACCCACACCTTCGATATTTTCCCTTGTTACAATGCCTCTCAGGTGAGTATGATTGGTAGCTCACGATCAATCCCCTCTGGTCAATACTTATCTTAGGAAACATCTGTATCAACAATCACATATTACAGCTCCATTCATTATAAACCTAACCAAACACTTCCTGTGCCTCAAAGCGTTAACTAAACCTACCTACCCAGTACTTCTAGCCGTAGCCAAAAGCGACAGTTCTTGGTGCATGATCACAACGTAAATTGTTTGCAGTTCCGTGACTTCATTGTGGACCTTCCTGGGGACACGCTAGCGAGGGTGAACCAACTCCGTGACCTGCTCATCTACTCGTCCCAGCAGGCCATGGCTGAGGTGGGCGTCGTGTCCCCCCTCAGGATTAACAGGATGGTGGTGAGTTACGGGGCCTGATGGGACTCTTCCCAAGTTCTCAGGGGGGGTTTATCAATGCAATGAGTACAGTCTACAGGGTTACAATTTGTAGCAACCATTACAGTGTGTGTGTTACCATAGTTGTACAATAACAGCAGTATTTGTTGCAAGGGTGACAATGGTGACATTGCAAGTTACAATGGTGGCAGCAGTGTTCGTTGCCAGTGTTACAAGTGCCAGTTGCCCACGTTACAATGGTGGCAGCATACGAATCCACCCGTTCCCAAGCACTCCCAAGATCACACTAACTATACTCTTGTTCCGTATGCTTCAAGGTGGAGCCCTGGCTCCACCCCTCTCAGGCTCTCCAGCTCTAGAAAACTCCGCCTTCTCTTTAGGCCTCCACCCAATCAGCTGAAACTAGGTCTAAGGTCCTGGCACTCTTACCCAATGCCAAGTCATGCCTGGCCCTTGGCAACCATTTAAAACGCCATAGGCAGAGTTTTCTCATGAAACCTGTATATTACTAAAGCCTACGGAAGGAAGATGTACCAGGTCTCTAATTTGAAACGACAGTAAAACCTATACCCTCACCGTCCGGGTAAGGGAAGAACAATGAAGATATATGATACCACTAGCAGTGCCAAGACGTGTAAAGAAGTGAAGGAGAAGGGAAAAGCTAGGGAGGAAGAGAGAGATGAGGATAATAAAGAAAGGGGAAAAGATGGGAGGAAGGAGACGAGAGCAGGCCCTAATATGATCTCGTCCGTTACAATGGTGCATTACATGCTCCGCCAACTGTCTACTAACACATGCTCTGCCACTTACGCCATTGGCTCTTGTTCTCCAAGGCTTACGATTGATACCTGGAGCATACCTGGAGAGGGTTTCGGGTACTCCCTGTGCTCGGCCTGAGGCCAGGCTCGACATGTGATAACTTGGTCTAATGATACTGAATGACCATAACGACATTGTAGCAACAACACAGGAAACTGCAGGTCTGTTGACCCATACGAGGCAGCTTCTATTTATATCCACCCAAACTCATACATATATATGTTTATTCTCTTAAAACTTGCGTATCTTACGAAGCTTTTCTTTAAATTTCCAGTTGGAAGAACGAGATGATGTAATTCGACTTTTGTTCACCGTCCTGGACAAAGCCACAGTGAACGGTGACGCCCCAGGCACCCTTGAGGAGAGTGATATGAACACTGCAGTTAACCTCATCAGCTCTGCCATCACCAACTCTAAACTAGTCATTATAGTTCGCATTGCAGATTCTCCCAAACGAAAAGTGGTTAGTGTACGAAACTTGTTTTGTTGCAAGTTTGGTTTAGGCAATTAGCACTAATATGAGTGATTTTCATTACACACAGAAATCACAATTGCGTGATGCATCATATGAACAAATCCATTAATCCAAGTTCAGTAGAACTTCGGTTTCAACTCCTTTGACCATGTCGTAGCTCAGTCGATTAAGGCAGCGTCGGGGATGCTCTCGGACGCAGGTTCGAATCCTCGTCACGGCCCTTGTGGATTTGTTCATGAGTAATTTTCCTTGTGATTTTATGTTCCATATTCTGGGTTCTTCAAACTTTTGGCTTTCTATTCTAAGGAACAGGACCAGAGAATTATTAAGGTTTCCATAGGATAACGGCTTTCATTGACAGGATGGTACCAAGAACAGTAACTCTAGGTACTTTACTGGTAAGTGAACAGAGGCATTGAGAATAAGGCTAAGGTGCAAATGTCTTGCCCTACCCGGGGTCATTCAGTTGTAGACAGACTGGGGGTAATCACTCTACAGTCCCTTTAAGCCCAAGTCTCCTTTTCTCCGTTATCTCTGGCAATCAGAGGCTCCTCAAAACAGTTCAGCCATCTTTTACAATCTACATAAGCATCCTCCAGCATGAGTAATATCACCTGTGTGTTCCACGTTCACCTACATTCTTCCCCGTACATCCATAACACACAGAAGAGGAAGGCAAGAGTTAAAGGGGGGACATGATCACCACATACCAGATTCTCAAAAGGAATTGATAGGGTAGATAAAGACAGGCTATTTAACACAAGGGGCACACGCACTAGGGGACACAGGTGGAAATTGAGTGCCTAAATAAGCCATAGAGACATTATAATTTTTTTTAGTGTCAATAGTTCAATGGAATGCATTATTAGGCAGTGATGTGGTGGAGGCTGACTCCATACACAATTTCAAGTAGTATAGATATGATAGAACCCAATAGGCTCAGGAACCTGTATATCAGTTGATTGACAGTCGAGAGGCGGGACCAAAGAGCTAAAGCTCAACCCACCACCACCATGCCCCAACACCCCCCTCCCCACCCCACCACTTTCTTCCCTGCCTCACCTTAGCCAGTTTCCACATTTTCGTCTATTTTCGTCTTTTCTCACCAAAATTACTTGCTCACCTTAATACTTTCTTTTCTTTACTTTACTTTTTGCCTACATTGTATCTTGACAAATTCTTCTTGCCCTATACTTCGCTTATTTTTTAATCGGCTCTTTTAGTTCAGTTTTTTCTATTATCTAAAACTTTCAGGCGCTCGAGAAGATAATAAAACTAAATCATTTCAAATATTATTTAAGAACATTTAAGACATCGCAGTGGGATAAGAAAAAGAAACTTAAGAAATAAGGATGCGGAATCATTGCTTATAATCACGCATACAGCTACTAACATTACCAACCCTTGTACTGGCCAACAAGATTGTAGAATGTAGAAATATGTAGAAACATGAACCCCTCTGGATTCTACACGATTCTAGCCGCTTCCAATATGAATTAGTTCGCACATACACACGTGAGTTAGTTGTTCCCTATGTGAAGGGACTAACTTTGTTAACGACTAACATCAACTTTCTCAATGGTGTATTTAGGGCGCTAGATCAGTTCCTTAACGACATAACCGTTCTTCCTCGCATGTCTATAAGAGAACAACAGCCAGTTCAAGAACTGTGGAGTCTAAGACAGAAACATCATTGCCAGAAATTGATATACAATCTACGACAAACATTTAGTCCCAAGTAAAATTCTTTTCACTTCTAGTCGAGAAATATAATATTCTATACCACATATTATCGGGCATTGGCAATATAAAATCGGCTATATAGAATTCTGCAAAAAATTAAAAACGGCAAAAGAAAATATTGTTGCAAATTATGAAACAGTTTAGCATAATCAGTCAATCACACGAGTCAATGTCATGGCAACTTTATGTTGGTGGGTAACTCTTTTTAAAAACAAATAACATATATATGTTTGTCTAAATTCTACTAAAAGAAGCTGCCATACAATAATAGTCTGATACTATAACGAAATAACAAGACTGAACTTGAATGTGGTGTGATGCAGCAGCAGCAGCAGCGTGCGGTCCACCCGGAGTCTGGAGCCCAACTGCTCGCTTACCATACAGCCGCGTAGGAATACACAAGTTTCCCCGGTACCTGGAGTACTGCTTCCAGGAGTAGGGTCTAAGATCAGAGCAAATTTGACCACCCTATGTCCTCGCTACTGTTTTAATTAACAAATCTAACCTAAACTAACCCAACCGAGCCTAACCCAACTTAACCTAACCCAATCTAACCTGACCCATCCCATCAGCCTAACCTATCCTATTCTAGTTTTACCAAAATAAAAAGATAAAATATAGCGATTTATCTATGGCTGGTCCAAGATATATAACTAATCTGACGTCATCATTTTATCCCGGCTCAAATTTCAGATTTATTTTGCTTATTATTATTTTCTACCACAGACGTGGGTCACATATTTACAATGCTAACCGAGACATATATATATATTTCTTCTGTCCTCCATGGACAGCATTAGAGATCTGTTAGATTTTTTAGATTACATTAGATTTTTTATTCAGGTAAAGGTATATACATAGAGTTACATATATAATGTTGGATTTAAAGATAGAGATAATACACACAATACCTAAAGCCACTAGTACGCATAGCGTTTCGGGCAATTTACCTGGAAGTAGAGGTTACTTATTTACTGCCTTTAATTTACTCTACACAATATTGAGAGGTCGTTTCTCCAACAAGAAAATATTCTTCCTCACCAATTTGCATTCTGTGTCGTTCTTAAGATATTGCAAGGTATATAAGGAAACAATATTTTTTGTTATTTTGCCCGAAACGCTATGCGTGCTAGTGGCTTTACAATAATGTAAAATCGTCATTGCTATGTACTTTCTTAATTCCCAATGTACCTTCTTGTAAATAAATAAATAAATATTCCGTGAAAGTCGTGGACTACTTAAGGAGTCACGCGGCCGCCGCTAGGCAGGCGGGAACACATCCTCACCGATGTCAACAGCCGACATTTATTACCAGACATTAATTTAACTGTACATCCCAATCCTTGCCTTCCTCTCATCTTTAATCCTACCTAAATCACCTCCCTAAACTATAAAACGCTATATATATATATATATATATATATATATATATATATATATATATATATATATATATATGTATATATAAGGATTCACATAAAAATTCATCATGGATAAGAAACAAATCCTTCGAAGAGTTTCAAAGATGTCGACCGGTTGGTATAGACGCAGATGAGGCTTTGTGTTTAACAATTTACACCGGTTAACTACACCAATGTGAACATTCTCATCATTTCACTCCCTTAACTACACATTAGAATAACCGCCTCTTCATTCTAGTCGTTATATGAACTTCAAACTGTAACAGATTACAAATATATTTGAACTTACAAATCAGCCCATCTTCCAGTTTTCGTAGTACTTATAGTAACGATGAACACCATAGTCTAAATACCAACGTACGACACAATTAGAAAATAGAAATCGGTACTATTCAATCTGGACAAACCGAAAACGCTTTGCTACTTATGTTGCTAAGACAACCTAAACTAACCTAACCTCCCTATGCATTATACACGCTCTCTGAAGCCTAATATAGTACATATACATGTGCTATACTAAGCCTAGGAATATATATATATTTTTTTTTAGCTTAATTTTTTTCGGACTATATAGTTAATAGTTCTACTAATTGCTTAGTATGTCAATGTTTGTACTATGGTACAAATAGTCTAAAAAAGTACTATCTAAGCAGGAGGATGGAATAGGTAAATCAAAGCACATATTTGGTACAATATTGAACAAATATTTTTTTGTATATTAAGTTAATTATGCTTCAGAGTGGCTTGTCTGAGATGTTGGAATATATTAAGTTGCTTCCTAGGACTCAGCTTTTTGTATTTATGTAATATGTAATTTATGTAATAAAAGGAGGATCAGGTGGCAGTTTTGCCCATCTCCGGCTCCATGATAGAGGTCCATCGTGGCAAGCGAAACGACTACTACTACTCTACTAACAAGGGCTACCATTCAGGTGAGCCTGGGGAGGGGGAAGATCTGTGAGTGCAGATTCCGTGAGCTAATATTTCTACATATGAAATGACGAGTATTTTGTATTACGACAATTTAGTGACTCTCGCGACGTTTTAGGTAAATTACGCTGAACCTAACTAATCATTTCCAGGTGACATGGCTGGTCTTGCCATAGGGATGCTGTTGGTCGGGGCCTTGTTTAGCGTGTTGGTTACTATGCTGATTCAAAGGAGGAACTCTCCCCCGGGCGGACTTCCAAGAGTCAGCATGGCCCACAAGTCCAGACCTTCTCCTGATAACACAATCAACATTAATGCTGATCTAACCAGCTCTGGCATTTAAAGCTATGATGTATCTCAGAGAGAGAGAGAGAGATATATATAGTAAGATTAGTGGCCTAAACAATAATTAAAAGCTTTTTCATGTGCCAGGTTATATAACTTTGTGATAAGATATTGACAAAGGCTGGAATTGGTCATTTTGCTTACCTTAACAGCATGGTAAAAACAAAACAGTGGTTATAATTGATCAAGGACGTCTTTTTTTCCTGAAAAGATGCAAGTCTTTTGATTTTTATAACATTAAATTAATCAAATGTAAAAAAAAAATTGTTTTATTTCATAGGCTTGGCCGAGGCGGGTGAAAAAAATGTCATTAGCTCTTCAATAAAGTGTTTATATAACGAACCAAATAGTTGGGCTACGTTTTTTCACTCTCTCCTCCAATCTCCTCTAAGTACTAATAGTCATTTACTCATAATAGCCTCACCTTACTTGATTACCTTCCAATCTCCTCGGATTAGGCTATTTGCAGCACCCAGTTCTTCCGCTGTTCAGTTAACACATTGCTCTTATGACAATTTGCTCCAGACTGCGAATAAACTCCTCCTCAAGGGCCACTTTACCTATCAAGATTACCACATGTGTGACAATGATGTAACTTCAGGGGGGGGGGGGGAATCCGCCTCGACTTTCGGAGAGAGAGAATCGAAGCCTCACATGAAGGACGGAATATGTGTCGCAGGAGGAACCCAGCAGCCACAGTGGTCACAGGAACGCCAATACTGCCGTTACTGTTGCTTTAGATTTAGCTACTCTGAACGAAATGTCCATGTAGCACGGGCTATGGTGAGCCCGTCCAATACTGCCATCCCATCTACCCTTTATACTTGTCCAGACTTCCCCGTCTCATCGCCAGTGACATTCCAATATTATGTTGACCCAATATTATATAGACCCAATAGTATATAATCAATATTATATAAACCCAATAGTATATACTCAATATTATATAGACCCCAATATTATATTGACCCAAGAGTATATACTCAATATTATATAGACCCAATAGTATATAATCAATATTATATAGACCCAATAGTATATACTCAATATTATATAGACCCCAATATTATATTGACCCAATAGTATATACTCAATATTATATAGACCCCAATATTATATTGACCCAAGAGTATATACTCAATATTATATAGACCCAATAGTATATAATCAATATTATATAGACCCAATAGTATATACTCAATATTATATAGACCCCAATATTATATTGACCCAAGAGTATATACTCAATATTATATAGACCCCAATATTATATTGACCCAAGAGTATATACTCAATATTATATAGACCCAATAGTATGTAACAGCCTAACTGTTCATATTAATCTATTAAGAATACATAACTATGAACAGTTAGGCTGTTATATAATGTTGTAATATAATGCTATATAACATTATATAGACTCAATATTACATAAACCCAATATTATATAGAAGCAATATTTAACCAAAGCAACATTAAGAGATGGGATTATTTAAACAACTCTGTAATTTTATTTTATTTACACAAATAATATTACACAAAGTCTACGATATACCTCAGGTGTACAGTGATAAGTATACTTCAGGTATACAGTGATAAGTATACTCTATATATATACTCCCCCCCCTATGTCTCCCTCCTCCCCTTTCAGGACTGTGGCCTCTGAGACTGTCCTGTTTGCTTCTCCCAGAGAAGTATTATACCAATGGATCAATCTACCTGTTGGGGTTAGCACAATGCTAGTTGGAAATGTAAAGGAAAACACTGAATAACTAGAAGAGGGGGAAACTCTTCACAAGCCACAAATTAAGCTTCCTGGCTTTATCACTGTCATTATAAACAGTGACCGTCAGGGCTTCTTCCTGTCCTCACCACCGTCACTATAGACAGCAGCCATCAGGTCACTGCAAACAAAAAAAAATTCCAAATCTGTCTCTTCACAAAACAGTATTGAAATTTGAGTTGCAGTGTTGCACACAGACTTTACAAACATCAACAGGAGTTTCAATCAACTAACAAAGATTATGAGTCCAAAAATGGTAAAAACTTGTGAAAGGCTAACAGGAATGTTGAAGGAGCGTGAATAAATTAAGGTGAGGAGGGAGTGAATGGATATCATTATGAGGAAGGTGAGAGAGAAAGGGAAGGGTGGTGAGAAGGGAGGGTGGTGAGGAGGGGAGTGAGGATGCTGAGGTCTTCAGGTGAGTGGAGATGACCAGCAGTGGCCAGCAGTGACCAGCACTGTACTCTGCTGTATCTTGGTCTCTACGCTCGCCCACCATCTTGTTCCCTAGTGTAATGTTTGATTTGTCCTTTCACAACCAGACTCTCTCTCTCTCACACACACATTCACATACACTCACATTCACACCCTGCTGGTAGCCCCTGTCTAACCCGGCCTGCAGGTATTGTACACAAGTCCTGCTGAACACGCCAGTGATGTACATGTACACCAAGGAGCCTTAGTGTGGCCTCAAGCCTTGGTGTGGCTACGGACCTTGGTGTGGCCACGAGGCGTGTACCGGACACGCCTGTGCATTATACACACAACATTATACACACAAACATAACCACTACAATGAATAACAACCTGGGACAGACAAACTCAAAACACAACGTTTATGACAACTGCGTGTATTATCAACACAAGCAAAGTTCTATACATTAAACTATACATACAAAACTACCCATCATATATTTAGCAGCAATATATATATATATTTATCTAGGGAAATATGTACCTTTAGAGTACAACACAGGGCTGAGTGTACATAAGAGGTATGTTCAAGGTCTCCGGATTATGGTGTTGAAAGCCCAGAGGGAGCAGTAATGGCACTTGTGTCTTACTTACTAAACAGCTACAGCAACAAGACGTGTACATAGTCGTGCAAGATGATGGCTTGCACGAGAGGGTCGCTTGTACACTTGTTGCAAAAGGCTCGATCAAGGGCGTATAAATATATATATAATATCAATATTTGCAACAATAACAGAACAACTAGAGACAATGTGACACAACTTTTTTTCAGCAACTTGTCATGAAGCACTCAAGGCGACACCTCACTTCACTAATGACACTAGTCTCAAGTAGCACTTAAAGTTGGGGAATTCAAGGGCGTGAGACAAGTCTAAGTATCACATACAGTAATAATGACTGTGTCTTACGAACGTCTTACTAACGCGTTCCGTTCTTGTCAAGTCCTCAACGAGTCGCCCTTGTGACGTCGGAGAGCTACATCAGCGCCACTGGTTCAAGGTGGTGGTGAGCGTAACTACTCGTATGATACACAATGTGTTCCGTCTTATAACACTATTACCATAAATATTAGGATGGTGATCATTCCTGAGACATTAACTTATATATACATATATATATAAGAATTCATTTCATATGAAGGCACAATCGTGTTCACTAGTTTATGTAGAGTCTTGCCTTCTGTTGCAGCTTCTTACGTGTATCAGATAAATAATGTTATCATTTTATCTGCACACAAGAAGTGTCTAGGTGATGCCCTCCTGAGGAGCTACCTAAGTCCCACTAAACGATGTCTTCCGGAGGATTCTGTAGTCCTCCTCGTAGACTACGTCCTCGGGGACTATCTGCCATCCTCCGGGAGAGACAGATCATCTGCAATTCCCTAACGAGAGGTTTTCTTATTGGTGATGGAGAGAGCTAACACAGGTTAAAGCTTGCAGGTGATGTTGGTCAAACAGTGACGAGGTGATATTAAACAAAAAAAATCTAGCAGATGCTCTCCTAGATAAGAAATATTTCTATATATTTATGGCTACGTTTGAACACTAGGTGACACGTATACAATCATCTAGATGACGTGTTCGAAGATCCAGAGGATCCAGATCTAGAAGATCCAGAAGGTGACGTGTTTGCTTGGATCTAGGTGGGTCTAGGTGGCCTTTTTGGATCGCCAGGTGTGAAATTACACCTAAGTGACCATCTTTGGGATGGACACCTCGACGATACGAATGGAACATCAGGCGACGCACTCGAGGTGGGCGGGAAGGGGGCGTCTAAGTGACGTTTTCCAGTATCCAGGGGACGAACATGGAGATCCTGGTGCAGACTCCAGGCAGGTTGGGCTCGGCACAACCTATCCCCCAGGAAATGATGCCGGCTAGGAAGTACCGGCCGTCGGCGCCCCGGACCTGTAGCGGGCCTCCAGAGTCGCCCTGCGGAACAACAGGCATCAGGCAACAGAACTTGCTTTACTCTCAATAAAACAGAAGTCATGAAAAGAAGTTAATAATGTATCTGTGGAATATTCCAGTGGAAGCTTCACATCAAATAAAAAAGCAGTATTATTAAAGCTAGTAATACTTTATTTTTAAGACTAAAAAGTAATACTAATTGATGATATTAGCAGTAAAATAAGTGTATAAATATAAAATATTAGACATAAATATCAAATTCAAGAACAAATACGCGCTGGAGTATATATTGTTGGAGATAAGGTTTTAAATAGAAGGTAAAGCTACACACACACACACACGCTCACACAAGGATAAGTAACAAGGATAAGGCAGGACAGAGAAGGCTGGGCAGACTGCATATTTCTTGACTGCCAAAAGGCCTTTGATACGGTACCGCACATGAGACTGCTATACAAACTTGAGAGGCAGGCAGGAGTAAGCGGAAAGGCCCTAGTATGGGTGAAGAACTACCTAACAGGAAGGAGCCAGAGGGTAATGGTAAGGGGCGAAAAGTCGGACTGGCGAACAGTAACAAGTGGAGTACCTCAAGGATCGGTGCTGGGACCAATCCTCTTTCTAATTTACGTAAATGATATGTTTACAGGAGTGGAATCATACATGTCGATGTTTGCAGATGACGCAAAATTAATGAGAAGAGTTGTGACAGACGAGGATTGTAGGATCCTCCAAGAGGACTTAAACAGGCTGCAGAGATGGTCAGAGAAATGGCTACTGGAGTTTAACACCAGTAAATGTAAAGTTATGGAAATGGGATCAGGTGACAGGAGACCAAAGGGACAGTACACAATGAAGGGGAACAGCCTACCTGTAACGATTCGAGAAAGAGACCTGGGAGTGGATGTGACACCTAATCTAACTCCTGAGGCACATATAAATAGGATAACGACAGCAGCGTACTCTACACTGGCGAAAATTAGAACTTCATTCAGAAACCTAAATGAGGAAGCTTTTAGGGCGCTTTACACTGCCTACGTGAGACCCGTCTTAGAGTATGCCGCGCCATCATGGAGCCCCCACCTGAAGAAACACATAAAGAAACTGGAGAAGGTTCAGAGGTTTGCGACGAGGCTTGTCCCAGAGCTACGAGGGATGGGATATGAAGAGCGGCTGAAGGAACTGAACCTTACGACACTAGAGAAAAGAAGGGAGAGAGGAGATATGATAGGGACATATAAAATACTCAGGGGAATTGACAAAGTGGAAATAGATCAAATGTTCACACGTAATAATAACAAAACGAGGGGACATGGGTGGAAACTGGAAACTCAGATGAGTCACAGAGATGTTAGGAAGTTTTCTTTTAGCGTGAGAGTAGTAGAAAAATGGAATGCACTTGGGGAACAGGTTGTGGAAGCAAATACTATTCATACTTTTAAAACTAGGTATGATAGGGAAATGGGACAGGAGTCATTGCTGTAAACAACCGATAGCTAGAAAGGCGGGATCCAAGAGTCAATGCTCGATCCTGCAAGCACATATAGGTGAGTACATATAGGTGAGTACACACGCACACACGCACACGCACACGCGCACACACACACACACACACATGCCTTACGACACTAGAAAGAAGGGAGAGGGGAGACATGATAGGAACGTATAAGATACTCAGAGGGATTGACAGAGTGGACATAGACGAAATGTTCACACGGAATACTAACAGAACGAGGGGACATGGATGGAAGCTTGAAAGTCAGATCAGTCACAGAGATGTTAGGAAGTTTTCTTTTAGCGTGAGAGTAGTGGGAAAATGGAATGCACTTCAGGAACAGGTTGTGGAAGCAAATACTATTCATAATTTTAAAACCAGGTATGATAGGGAAATGGGACAGGAGTCATTGCTGTAAACAACCGATGCTCGAAAGGCGGGATCCAAGAGTCAATGCTCGATCCTGCAGACACAACTAGGTGAGTACAACTAGGTGAGTACACACACACACACACACACACACACACACTAACAGATGGAATGCATTAGGCAGTAATGTGGTGGAGGCTGACTCCATACACAGTTTCAAATGTAGATATGATAGAGCCCAATAAGCTCAGGAACCTGTACACCAGTTGATTGACAGTTTAGAGGCGGGACCAAAGAGCCGAAGCTTAACCCCCGCAAGCACAACTAGGGGAGTACTCTAGTGGATCACCAACAGAGCCTTGTTGACTGTGCATCATCAGCCTCACTGAAAGACATGTCTTTTTTTATATATTTTGAGATGAAGGGGCCAAGCAGGCGATGAGTCACAATAACGTGGCTGAAGTATGTTGACCAATCCACACACTAGAAAGTGAAGGGACGACGACGTTTCGGTCCGTCCTGGACCATTCTCAAGTCATTCTCACAATCGACTTGAGAATGGTCCAAGACGGACTGAAACAACGTCGTCGTCCCATCACCTTCTAGTGTGTGGTCTGGTCAACTAGAGGCCAAGCACTTCCCAAGTGGGTGTGTAAAGCCATAGACAATATTCCTAATTTTCAAGGAACTGCGTTTAGTGTCGAAATAGTTTATCGCGAGCAAGCAGCGTTCTTCCAACTCTTATAGTAAATATTGAGTTGTATAATCAATTCAATGTTGATAGAGGTCATTTCAATTAATGTCTTTCAAAACACCTTCCTCCATCTTGTGAGCCGTCGTGAAGGAGTTGGTGTAACAGATGGTAGAGGGTGTGTGGTGTTCACTTCACCCGTGGAAGATTTTGATTTTGATTTGTAGCCGTCGGAGGCGGCTAGTTTATTGTGCACCCCATACTCTTCCTGTGAGCGGTAGCGCAAAAATGATTACAGAGGGTACAAAAAGGTCTTTTTATCAGTCCTCAACGGAGATTATTACATTAATAATTTCATCTATCCTTCACAACTGTGGAAGCATGGTGGTGGTTGTCCTTGTTTGGGTGACAGCCACGTGGCCGTTGTATTGGCTGTTGACAAGGACCTGACTGACGGCTGTCAACTTCCTGCCAACTGGAGGAACTGGACGGGAGTGATATAAAGGTTACTGAGTGGGGTGTGGGGGGGGGGAACGATCGGGATGGGGGAGGGGGGGGTGTAGATCATTCAAGTGCCGTAGATCACCTTCTGCTCCCCCCTCCCCATCACACCCCCCCCCCCCCCCCACCACCATCACACTATCCGCTACACCATAATCTGAGATAATAGTGCTATGTTGCCAGGTACCTCCACGCTGTTACAGTTCGTAGCTACCTATATGTTCTTACAGGGAATGATCTCCAGCTCCGGTTCCCGCCTCTTGCCTATAATTCCCCAGAACTAGCAGTACACTGTCGATACCATGGGTTTTAGTGTTAATATTTTAAAAGCCCTTAAATGGCATGTCACATATTTACTGCTGAATTGAAGTGGCCGTTAATATCTACCTGGCTAAACTGTGTGTAGTTTCAATGTACGTCCTCTTGGCCTGGTCCACTACACCCACCTACACGAGGGGGGGGGAGGGTGTAGTTCCTACGCCTTCACGTAAGTAATCGGGCCCGAGAGCTGAAGCTCATACTCAGCAGACAAGCACACACACACTGTTCCCTCCCACCTTTGTTCACAACTTTGTACGGTCTCGGGCCACGCGGGTCTGGGCACCGACAATATGTGAGGCATTAGACACTAGCTTCCAGGAAATGGGCAAAAGTACAACTTGAGCAGTACTGAGAGGTTGAGGGCAGTTCGCCCTTGAGTAGGAGACCAAGCAAGATGGCAGCTGCAAGATGAGGTTCATCTGAGCATCTTGAGGTTCAGATGAGCTTGAGGATCACAATATGATGCAGCTGTAGGAGCAGACAAAATCTCCCCCGTGGATGCTAAAAAAACACAGCACAAACTTGGAGAAATCTTTCTTTTATGAAGCACAATACTTCACTAGAGAGAGAGAGGGAGAACTGCCAAACCGCTGGAAGACGGCTAATGTTATAGTGATATGGATGAAAAGGGGATTGACAGGAGGCAATAACCTACAGACCTGTGTCATTAATATGCATCGTCTATTAGATCCTAAATCAAATAATACCAAAAAAAGCGGAGACATGACCATGACATGGACGATTCTACATTGTCCCCTACCACCCCTCTTGCTCCAGCTTATCTCTCACACACACACACACACACAACAGCCTTAGTTACAATCAAACACACGCACACACACACACAACTTTCCAATTAACAACTGCAAGCAAAAGCTGGAGGAACTTTCACCTTTCAACTTCAACTCTCTTTACAAGATGTGTACTTCCCTTATCCCCTTATTCTTCCCTCAGAGCTCCAGCTACCTCTCTCTCCCTCTCCTCCATCCACCCTCAACCCAGCGCCCCCATGCACTAATCTCTGCTCCATAACATCCTTTTTTCAAGAGATTTGCCAGATGGTTCCAGACAACAGCTGGTGAACTGATGCTGTCGAACGGGAGATGAGGCTGGAAGGGGGTGTGTGGAAGGGGAAGACATGGTAGAAGGGAGGGTGGTGGAAAGGTAAGGGCAGGAGAGATGAAATGTTGAGGAGACAAGAGGAAAATGAAGAAAGGATAAGATTAGTGCTCAAGGTAAATAGGAAGAGAAAAATTACCTTCAGGTAGGAGACTAGGCTACTTTTCAGGGCTACAGGTGTACCGTAGTCCCTTCATGTCCAGGGGCTACAGGTGTACCGTAGTCCCTTCATGGCCAGGGACTACAGGTGTACCGTAGTCCCTTCATGGCCAGGGGCTACAGGTGTACCGTAGTCCCTTCATGTCCAGGGGCTACAGGTGTACCGTAGTCCCTTCATGGCCAGGGGCTACTGGTGTATCGTAGACCCTTCATGTCCAGGGGGCTACAGGTGTACCGTAGTCCCTTCATGTCCAGGGGCTACAGGTGTACCGTAGTCCCTTCATGTCCAGGGGCTACAGGTGTACCGTAGTCCCTTCATGTCCAGGGGCTACAGGTGTACCGTAGTCCCTTCATGTCCAGGGGCTACAGGTGTACCGTAGTCCCTTCATGTCCAGGGGCTACAGGTGTACCGTAGTCCCTTCATGGCCAGGGGCTACAGGTGTACCGTAGTCCCTTCATGTCCAGGGGCTACAGGTGTACCGTAGTCCCTTCATGGCCAGGGGCTACAGGTGTACCGTAGTCCCTTCATGGCCAGGGGCTACTGGTGTATCGTAGACCCTTCATGTCCAGGGGGCTACAGGTATACCGTAGCCCCACCAAGGCTACACCACTACCGGGTGTCAGTGACCGCTAGGTAGAGAGGTGCGGTGTCGGCCCTTCTCCCTCCTACAGGTAAACTACACGTAATGTTTCCTATTATCTCCCTACTGCACCACCACCACCACCACTACACTGTACCACCACCACCACTACCACACTGTCACCACTGCTGCACCAACACAACCACCACCACACTACCACCACCACCACTACCACTGACACCTACTAGTTTCCTCAGTGCCAAATCTCTCATCATTTTCACCCTCCTCCCCCCCCCCCATTCTCGCCCCATCAAGATGTCCCCAAGCTCCCCCCAGCGCCCCTGGGGCCACCTATCATCCCTATACCCATTTTGAGATAAATCTAAACTCACATTGTATGCTCTGGCAACCTATTTTATTGCTAAGGATACAATACCTGAAATCCTTGCACTGTATCCATATTTCGCTCCCAGTAGATAAACGAAACATGAGATTAAGAAACAAGTAGTGTATTGTGAAGACTAATAATAAACAGCAGCTCCCCTATGACTCTGTAATATCTCCATTGCTGAAACAATTATGTATTAGTGATAAGATCCACCATAAATATATAATGACTTACTGTAAATATATAGCTCTTGAAACAGAACATTCTCTGTAACTAGCTGACATTGTAATTATAAGGTGTGAAGAATAGATGAAACTGTTTATGTAACAATCTCCGTTGAGGTCTGATAAAGACCTTTTGTGCCCTCTGTAATCCTTTTTTGCGCTACCGCTCACAGGATGAGTATGGGGATGCACAATAAACTAGCGGCCTCCGGTGGCAACATTCACCTCTCTACACCACACTAACAGGACTACCATTGTCTTCAAGACAAGTGTGGTGGTGTAATGGGTGCGCTGGAGCCACCGTCTTGAGTCTCCACCACTCCTTCACTTCCAGCTGGGTTCGTGTCTTGATGGTTTTAAGTCACATCTTGAAATTACTCCTGTCAATTCTGCTGCTGCTGCTGCTGCTGCTGCTGGTACTGTTATTACCAGCGGTAATACTGAGGCTTCAACAGCTTTCTGTTTAATACTGATAATACCAGCAGCAGAAATTTGTCTAATGATATTAACGCATTATTTAATTCTGGTACAATTATTAAAGATGATAATGATGATGATAACTGAATATATATATCAAGTCCACTACGACTGGGGGACAGATAGACTTGTGTGTTAAAGAGGCTTGCTCACCGCACATGATCACATGTCTAAGGCTAGAACCTCTTTTGTGGAGTGGTATATGTTACGGGCGATGGCCGGTGTTGGTGGCGGCCACCAACACCGGCCACCAACACCCACCACCAACACCGGCCACCAACACCCACCACCAACACCGGCCACCAACACCGGCCACCAACACCCACCACCAACACCCACCACCAACACCGGCCACCAACACCGGCCACCAACACCCACCACCAACACCCACCACCAACACCGGCCACCAACACCCACCACCAACACCCACCACCAACACCGGCCACCAACACCCACCACCACACCGGCCACCAACACCGGCCACCAACACCCACCACCAACACCCACCACCAACACCGGCCACCAACACCGGCCACCAACACCCACCACCAACACCCACCACCAACACCGGCCACCAACACCGGCCACCAACACCCACCACCAACACCCACCACCAACACCGGCCACCAACACCCACCACCAACACCGGCCACCAACACCCACCACCAACACCCACCACCAACACCGGCCACCAACACCCACCACCAACACCCACCACCAACACCGGCCACCAACACCGCCACCAACACCCACCACCAACACCCACCACCAACACCGGCCACCAACACCCACCACCAACACCGGCCACCAACACCCACCACCAACACCCACCACCAACACCGGCCACCAACACCCACCACCAACACCCACCACCAACACCTAACACTGCCTCACCAAAGACGTTCTTGTAAAAACTAAAAAAAAAAAAAAATTACCAGAGAAATTGGTAGAGTAATAGAGTGGGTAGGGAACCTGGCTAAGAAATAGGGAACAAATAGAATCAGTAAATTAAACTAGGAAAAACGCCACTAGTGGAGTGCTACAAGGTTCAGTGCTGAGACCTGTGCTATTCACAGTGTACATCAATGACTGATGGACCTCCTACTTTGGAGCTGCTCCTTGTTGATGACCTCAAACTGTCGAGGACGGTGAGGAGGAGCTCGGACAACAAAAGGCTCCAAGGAAGACTTGGACAAGTTACAGACAGGCTCGGACAAAGATCTACATTACGTAAACAGGAATAAGAAGGCCGGTGGAATAATACAATATGAGAAGGAGGAACTAAAATGAACAGGTAAAGAAATAATCTAGGAGTAGTGTCTGGGATGCTCCCGGACGCAGGTTCGAATCCTCGTCACGGCCCTTATGAATTTGTTCATCTAGGAGTAGCCACAGATATAAACCCAGGGAAATGAAAATAATGAATACGGACACAAAAATGGAGGCGATATGATTCAGACATATAAAATACTCAAGGGTGTATGTTGTATATGTAGCAAGTAGCAGGATCTGCCTCTATCTATAGATTTAACTCCACATATTACCAGAAACGAATGAGAGTTGGGAGTCACTGCAGTAGTTGACATGTTATTCAGAAAGGCGGGGCCCAGGCGCTGAAGCTAGGTCCTGCAAACTCAATTAGGTAAGTACTTTTCACAGAATCAGTAATTGGGTACCCGCTCGTTAAACAGTTTGACGAGTCGTGTTCCAGGGGGGGGGGAGTTAAACTCAGCTATGGCAAGAGAAAGCTGTTAGCCTTCTAACAGGAGTCTACACCTGTACCCACCTGTGTAAACCAAGAACATCTCAAGGAGTATACTTCAACAGTAACAGAAGTACACTCATTGAGAAGACCTCAACACGGAGCCTGTTGGGCAGTTATGTTAAGCCACGTAACATGTCTTAAAAACTGAGGTCTTGTTGACCAGACCACACACTAGAAGGTGAAGGGACGACGACATTTCGGTCCGTCCTGGACCATTCTCAAGTCGATGGTTTACTCAAGTCAAGTCTCAACTCTTAACTGAGGTCTTCCCGATACGTATTGTGTAAACTTAATTATAAAGTTATAGCCATTTATAAATAAAGTTTTCTTTATTTAATTTGCTGAGCAACAAAAAAAGCAACAACAAAACTTTAATTGCAAAACTTTTTTTTTAAACTTGCCGACCATGATGATTGCAGCACGGATAACGCCATCAAAAAAAGTGGTAATTGCGGGACTCGAACCGGTACCAAAACAGCGATAACTGCAACACGCTTAGTGCCGTCTTAATTATACACGGAGGAGGAGGCACAGGAGCCAACAGCCCACTCACGGAGTTGGCCCAGACACTTGGGAGAGAGAGAGAGAGAGAGAGTTGGGGGGCGCTTCCGGCCCTCTGTTCCATCCGCCCGTTCCAGGCGACTTAGAAGGCCCCCCCCTCCCTCAAGGCTCTCAACCCCTACATCCTCAAACCCCCCCTCCATCCCCTCCCTCAAGGCTCTCAACCCCTACATCCTCAAACCCCCCCTCCATCCCCTCCCTCAAGGCTCTCAACCCCTACATCCTCAAACCCCCCCTCCATCCCCTCCCTCAAGGCTCTCAACCCCTACATCCTCAAACCCCCCCTCCATCCCCTCCCTCAAGGCTCTCAACCCCTACATCCTCAAACCCCCCCTCCATCACCCCCACACCCCCACCACACCCGCCTTGCGGTAACTAGGGCGAGACGAGATGGAAAGCATCATAACACAAGCTGATTATTCTCTTTCTCCTCCTCCTACTCCTTCTTTCCTCTCCTCCTCAGTGACATTAGGATAAGAAACCATTCCCAAATAACATGTCATAATTTCAAACCCATTTCGGGTTTAAACCCCCCTAGCCAGCTGGTGCTTGTGGTGGGGGGGGGGGGGTTGAAGAGCAACCCTTGCCCGGGGTTCGGTTCGAACGGAGGTCGTCAGTGAAGCACTGTTCCGAGAAATGTTCGAACGTCGCCGGTTGAGACGTGTGTAAAGTTGTATTTATTCATAAACAGGGGGGAGAAGGGGGTTTGGTGACTGGATTACCGAGCACATGGTCTGTGTTATCGAGGACGATATCGCCCGGGGTTCGAGCCCTGGTCAAGTATGGACGATCGGACACCAACACTTCACCCCACCAGTAACTGGGGGGACCTGGTTGTAAACTGACTGACAAACCGCGTTCCAGGGCAAACCCAATAACACTCGAGGTATTACAATGACGCAACACTTCCCTGACGCAACACTCACCTGACGCAACACGGTGACGCAACACTCACCGAAAAGCAGCCTTGCTTTGAGGGGTAACATGAAGGAGCATAATGAACTAAGTGGAAGGACAGGTGGTTGAGGCTTCACAACACTAAGATCAGGCGCCACCGCAACACGTGGCCACCTACCGTAAACGGTGCCCAGCAGCTGAGGCCCAACCTTCAAGCACACACACACACACACACACACACACACACACACACACACACACACACACACACACACACACACAGAGGACAGTACCTGGCAGGAGTCGATGCCGCCCTTCTCGTAGCCAGCACACAGGAAGATCTCCGGGATGTGTTCCCGCCGCCCGCCCTTCAAGAACATATCTTTACACTTGCTGTTGCTTACGATGGGCACCGAACCCTGCGGAACACCACACTTCATTATTATGGGGCTACTGTGTCGTAGGGTTGGGGTATCTTAGGGTTGGGGTATCTTAAGGCTTGGGTATCTTGGGGCTGGGGTATCTTTGGGGCTGGGGTATCTTAGGGCTGGGGTATCACAGACACAGGGTAAAGCGTGGGTAGACAAATTGCATTAAATAGAAAACAAGCAACCATTAAACGTGCAGGAAACATGTCTAGCATTGAAATATCATGACAAATATTGTCTAAAAGCCTAAGCAACATTAGACACAATATTGGACAGGTGAACACGGCCACTGACAACCAGTTTCAGCCCGTAGCAGTTATATTTTCAGCAAGTTCTTTGTTCAACTGCTCACAGGATGAGTATGAGGGCCACCCTAAACTGCCTCCCAGAGGATCACAATGAGGTGAGCGCTAAACAGGCTCTCATAGGCTCAGAATGAGGACACTAAACTGTTCATTTTTCTCTTTGTCTCTTGTGAACCTTGCCATTTTCTCAGCATTATTTTTTAATGATTCAATGGCATATCCCTCTCCCTCCTCAGGGCATCCCCCCCTTCTCAGGGCATACCTCCCGTCTCTACCGTACCTTCTGCAGGATAGAGGGCAACCGGCCATGCTCAGACAGCCGGCCCCAGCCGGTCACTGTAGCCCTCTCGCCTATCAGGAGGTCGTTGTTCCCCGGCAGACAAATGGGCGCAATGTGCGGCTGGAACTCCAGTACCTCCGTCATCTGCACCAGCGCCAGATCGTACTCGTACGTGAAGAAGTTGTACTTGGGATGCACGGCCTTGCGCTTCACCGCCCGCTCCACGTACGGGAACGGCTCCATCACGGACGAGAAGTCGTACTCTCCGACCCGGATCCGGATTTGTGACGTCAACAGGCTGTTGTGAGAACGAGAGAAGATAAAGATGTTAGGCATCTACGTTAAAAAGGTAGAGACGCTAGCCTTTCCTCACTGAGGAAAGTGAGCCGACAGGGTCGTCGGGTCGTTCTTGTGGTGCCAGGTGACCGTGGTGCCAAGGACGAAGGCCCCCAAGATCAGTGATATATATATATATATATGACAATGTCAGACCACGGAGGAAAATGAAACAGGAATTTCCTTAAGTACTTTCGTATATTAAATACATCTTCAGAAGGAATCAAATAAGTATATTTATAATATACTTATAAGTATAAGTATATACTTATAAGTATAAGTATAAGTATATTTATAATAAGTATATACAATTTCGTATATTTAATATACGAAAGTACTTAAGGAAATTCCTGTTTCATTTTCCTCCGTGGTCTGACATTGTCACATTCTTAATCACGTGTTTATTTTCGTGATATACACACACTATATATATATATATATATATATATATATATATATATATATATATATATATATATATATATATATATATATATATATATATATATATATATATATATATATATATATATATATATATATATATATATATCCATGATTAAGGGAAACACAGTGTCTTCTTTGACACCTCCAGTCAGTGCCAAGTCCGACCCGTGAAGCTGTACTTTGATCTCTCAAGGTAATTGCCTAGTTTGACCTACAGTTAGGAGGGGGGGGGGTTTACGTGAGTATTTTTTTTTTACAATAAAATAGGTAGGACGTGTCTGAGGCAGCTGAGTGTATTACAGCAAGATGTAACAGGTGTACAAAGGATGTGTTGTTGTTAAAGATTTAGCTACTCAGGACAAAGTGTCCATATAGCACGGTCTATGGCGAGCCCGCAAACTACAAAGGAGGTGTAGGTAGCAGATGTACTTGACTGGAGAGGTGGTTGTCTCGAAGTGACTTCAGGTGAGATGCAGGTGTGTTAGGCACATGTTAAGCAGGTGTAGGTGGCAGGGGGGGGGATGGATGTGTGACTCACTCGTCAACACAGTGGCCAGCAGTGGCGACCCACTGGTCATTGAGCAGTGCTCCTCCACATCGATGTGTCGAGGAGAACCCGAAGAAGCTGGTCCTCCTGACGGAGACCTGCCACGGCCACTCCCCGAACCTGGCGTTGGTCCCGTTCACGATCCGGCCCTCTGGTTGGGTCATCATCGTTGGCACCCCACACTCTGTGGACAGGAGACAATGGAGTTACTTACTGGCACTCTGGGCACTTGGGAAGAGTTGATAAGAGTGGCTCGTACTCTAGCAGTAGAGAGAATAGTTGGCAGCACACACACACACTTCGGGACCAAAGAGCCAAAGCTCAACCCCCGCAAGCACAAATAGGCGAGTACACACACACACACACACACACACACACACACACACACACACACACACACACACACACACACACTCTTCGGGACCAAAGAGCCAAAGCTCAACCCCCGCAAGCACAAATAGGTGAGTACACACACACACACACACACACACACACACACACACACACACACACACACACACACACACACACACACACACACACACACACACACACACGCACACACACAAGGGTGAAACTACAAGCGCAGAATGGGAAATAAGAATGACTAAGGTCTGCTACAGCGGCCCCTCTCGACAAACTGGTCGCGTTTCTAACGATATCCTTACTAACGTTACAAATGCAACCTATTGAGACAAACTACGACTCACAATATCTACTTTTTAATACGGAACGAACTTAGGTTACTTTAGGTGTTGATTCTGTACGTAGCTGGTTAGGCTAAAAGGTTTGATTTTGGACGGAGCGATAAATGAAGAAGAGAATTTAATTTTCAAATTTGTCTACAGCCTAGCACGGAACTCTGATCTCAAACCCCCCTTCACCCCCCTTAACCCCCTCTCCCCGCCCACATAAGTGCATTGATGTCATAATATGTTGAATTAAACAACATCATCAATGAACAACCTGAGGGGACTGAACTTGTTACATAAAAACACCCACAAACACCCCCGGGGATGTGTTAAATTATGCGGTACGACAACGTGTCGCGGGGCGTCGCCACTCTCACTCTCACCTGACCTGCCAGACGTGTCACACAAGCGGTCCACCCGCATGGAGAAAACTTTCTAATATATTTCTTCTGTTACTTTTTTTGTGTTTATCACCAAGGGCACAGTAGTGACACTTAAAGTAAAGTACTGGCACTTAGGGCACAGTACTGGCACTTAGGGCACAGTACTGGCACTTTGGGCACAGTAGTGACACTTAAGGTAAAGTACTGGCACTTAGGGCACAGTAGTGACACTTAGGGCACAGTACTGGCACTTAGGGCACAGTACTGGCACTTAGGGCACAGTAGTGACACTTAAGGTAAAGTACTGGCACTTAGGGCACAGTAGTGACACTTAGGGCACAGCACTGGCACTTAGGGCACAGTACTGGCACTTAGGGCACAGTACTGGCACTTAGGGTGCAGTACTGGCACTTAGGGCACAGTACTGGCACTTAGGGCACAGTACTGGCACTTAGGGTGCAGTACTGGCACTTAGGGCACAGTACTGGCACTTAGGGCACAGTACTGGCACTTAGGGTGCAGTACTGGCACTTAGGGCACAGTACTGGCACTTAGGGCACAGTACTGGCACTTAGGGCACAGTACTGGCACTTAGGGCACAGTACTGGCACTTAGGGCACAGTACTGGCACTTAGGACACAGTACTGGCACTTAGGGCACAGTACTGGCACTTAGGGCACAGTACTGGCACTTAGGGCACAGTACTGGCACTTAGGGCACAGTACTGGCACTCAGGGCACAATTGTGACACTCGGGCGCCTGACAGCTGGGTGGACAGCGTTTCGGATTCGTTAGCCCTGAGGTTCCGGGTTCGATCCCCGATGGAGGTGGAGAGAAATGGGCAAAATGTTTCTTTCACCCTCATGCCCCCTGTTACCTAGCAGTAAATAGGTACCTGGGAGTTAGACAGCTGCTACAAGCTGCTTCCCGGAGGTGTGTGTAAAAAAAACAAAATATCCGTTGAGTGACAGTTGAAAGGCGGGGCGAAAGAGCCAGAGCTTAACCTCCCGGCAAGCACAACTAGGTGAGTACATGTTGATGGCGTTTAAGCCACTCAAGAGGCGGCACGGGCATGAATAGCCCGTAAGTTGCTATCTCGACTCCAAGCTTACTATCACTCCAAGTTTCTGGCGCCGTCTTCCGTTTGCTGTCCACTTCCCGCTTTCTCAGTTGCCTCTCTCACTAACCCCATTTATTGGAGCTTTTTTTTTCCCCTTAGTTTCCCCCCCAAGCGTATGTTCTACTTTTATTGTATCATTGTTCTGTATTCATTTCTGTTGTGTACTGTTGTGTGTTGTGTTAACTGTTGTTGCTGCGTCTGGTAATGTGACTGTTGATGACGCTGCTGCTGTTGTCTGTTGGCTGTTCTTAACAGAGGCTTCTGAGGTTGTGATTACCTCCGTTACTGCGGTCCGAACAGTCTCTGGTCCTGTTGTTCGTGCCGTTTCTACTGTTGTACGTGCTGCTGCTACTGTTGCTGCAGCTGCTGCTCGGCCTGTTGTTGCAGTGCGGGAGCAACAGTAGCTGGCTACAGTAGCCGTGGTCAGAAAGGGGGCGTAGAAAGTGGTCCGAAGATCACGTCCACCTTGCGACAGCTGTTTCAACCACGGCCCCACGGACGGGTCCATCACGGCCCCACGGACGGGTCCATCACGGCCCCACGGACGGGTCCATCACGGCCCCACGAACGCGCCCATCACGGCCCCACGGACGGGTCCATCACGGCCCCACAGACGCGCCCATCACGGCCCCACAGACGCGCCCATCACGGCCCCACGAACACACCCATCACGGCCCCACGGACGGGTCCATCACGGCCCCACGGACGCTCCCATCACGGGTGTCCGTAACCAGTGTCCGAGAACACAGAATATACGGACACGGACGCTGGGTATGTGCAAGTCGGGGTGGGGGTGGGGGATAGAGAAGTCATCAAGTGTCACGGGGTGTGTCATATTTGGTGCCATATACGTGGCATAAGTTCTCTCACACCTTCCCAGTCAGGTGTGCCAGTGAAAGTACCCCTCTCCCCCCATCACTCTGGCACCTCACACACACACACACGCGCGTGCGCACGACAACACCAAGCAAAGTTTACTTGAGCAAAGCAGAACACAAACAAGCAAATTCAACAAGAGCTTTCTCCAACACTGTGAACAGCTGACCCACTGAGTCACTCCAGATAAATATATCTATTGGATAATAGCTCTATTGGATAATAGATCTACTGGATAATATAGTAATAACAGAGCTATTGTACAAGAAAATAGAATTGGCCTACTTTGGACAGCAGTTCCTTACAAGAAGTACCTACGTACCTACCAGGAGCACAGAGAGAGAGAGAGAGAGAGAGAGAGAGAGAGAGAGAGAGAGAGAGAGAGAGAGAGAGAGAGAGAGAGAGAGAGAGAGAGAGAGACTCTCCGAGCTCAAGACGTCTCCACAGATCACCAAGTACCTCCAAGAAGCAAGAGGGAGAAAGGCAAACAATCATCTAAGCTGATGCTGGAGAGCTGGCACAGTGCCATTAACCCAGAAACTGCCACACACACACACACACACACACACACACACACACACACACACACACACACACACACACACACACACACCAGGCCGCTCACGCACGGTTCCACAATCTCGCTCAAAGCTTCCAGTGGACGTCCAGCTGGTCCACGACAATACCAGAAACCTTCAGATGGTCTTAGACAACATTTAGATATATATTGGTGACATTTGGGGGTGATAGAAGCTGGAATTGTCTCTTTTCTGCATAGTTACCACATGAGATAAAGAGGGATGTTCTATAGGCTTCTCATTCAACTAGAGCATCTTGCTCCTTGTAAATGACACATTTCTACCTACCGGTCTCTGCTGTATTAATATAGGAATAATATATTATGTTTCTATAGTTTCTATCCACGTAATGGGACGATAGACCTATTGACTTAATAGCCAAGCTTCTTGGGGACATTCCGCCATGATAAGAAGGTTTTTAAGAAGTTGATGACTGGTGTGTGTGGCTCTTCTCATCTCTACTTAAGCAACTGTGTGTCCAACCACTTGGGGTGGACGGTAGAGCGACGGTCTCGCTTTATGCTGGTCGGCGTTCAATCCCCCGACCGTCCACAAGTGGTTGGACACCATTCCTTTCCCCTCCGTCCTATCCCAAAGCCTTATCCTGACCCCTTCCAAGTGCTATATAGTCGTAATGGCTTGGCACTTTCCCCCCTGACAATTCCCTTCCCACTGTGTGAGTGATGGGGTGATGGGGCAGAACTCTCAGGCATTAACAACCCAAAGTTAATACGGGACTGAAGGGGAGAAGGAAGAGGATGGGAAGGATACAAAAAAGAAGAGGAACAGAAGAAGAATACAAGGTGAAAGAAAATGGCGAATGATTGAAGAGAGTGAAACATGTGAGAGAAGATTTTAATAAGAAAGTGAGAAGACGAAGCGGAAGGAGGGAGGTAAGTAGACATAAAGAGGGAGAGAAACAGAGGACGTAAAGAGGGAGAGAGGGAAGGAGGAAAGTGTTAAGGGAAAGCACCAAGACATTACGACTATATAGCTCTGGGAAGGGGGTCAGGATAAGGATTAGGGATGGGACGGGGGGAAAGGAATGGTGCCCAACCACTTGTGAACGGTCGGGGGGATTGAACGCCGACCTGCATGAAGCGAGACCGTTGCTCTACCGTCCACCCCAATTGGTTGGACCCCCATTTTGAGACAATATGAGACAAGAGGAGAGAGAGAGAGAGAGAGAGAGAGAGAGAGAGAGAGAGAGAGAGAGAGAGAGAGAGAGAGAGAGAGAGAGAGAGAGAGAGAGAGAGAGAGAGAGAGAGAGACAGAGAGAGAGAGCCAGGCAGGTATGGGGTACCTAGTATGGGACAAGCTTGTGTCGTCCAGTACAGGGTCTGTGTTGGTAGTTAGCTTGTAATTGACGTTGTGGTCAGACAAGCAGGCGGTGTTGTTCAGCTGTTACCGACCCACATTCACCTCCAACCACGCCAGCCCTCCCCCCCCCCCCCCACACACACACACCAATAATGCCTAACGAGAGATATCGTCGTCAACTACCAACAACTGCCGCCAAACTACCCCTCAAAAACCATCAATCACTGAACCACCGCCAACTGCTTCCACCTACCAACAATCTTGCGCAATTTTAACAACCTTACTTTAGGGAAATTGCCTCACTAACGTAATATTTATAGGGGGGGGGGGGGTTTCTGGACAAATCTTCACGATAACAGCACGGAAAGTCAACAATTTTACAGGTTCATGACGCGAGTAGACAACGGTGGTTACCACGGACAGCGCCATGGTAAAAAGAATAAGAACTCGACTGACCTAATTCGACTGCCCTCGACTGACCGTTCCCTGAGCGTCAGAGGACACTCCTGTCAGTGTCTAGTCTTCACAGGGTTCGATCCTCAACTACAGCAAAACACAGCTGTTATGTTGCATGTTTTGACGCTTTCTTGAAATGGAAATGACACTTGACCAATTAACATCATTAATTGGGCACTTAAAAAGTTACACAATTGGTGGATTGTGTTCCAATGAAGCCTATTAAGATACGCCTTAATTAAGAAGAGTTATGGGAAAGGAAGCTTCAAGCTTGCTAACAAGAGCTAGAGTATATATATATATATATATATATATATATATATATATATATATATATATATATATATATATATATATATATATATATATGCGAACAAGCCTGAATGGTCCCCAGGACTATATGCGAATGAAAACTCACACCCCAGAAGTGACTCGAACCCATACTCCCAGAAGCAACGCAACTGGTAACTACAGGGCGCCTTAATCCGCTTGACCATCACGGCCGTCAAAAGGAAGTGATAGCCGAGGCTATTTGAGCCACTTCCCCGACGGCAACTCGGATGGTAATCTTGGGCATAGCATTTCACCAAATCACCCAAAGAATGAGGTGATTTGGTGAAATGCTATGCCCAAGATTACCATCCGAGTTGCCGTCGGGGAAGTGGCTCAAATAGCCTCGGCTATCACTTCCTTTTGACGGCCGTGATGGTCAAGCGGATTAAGGCGCCCTGTAGTTACCAGTTGCGTTGCTTCTGGGAGTATGGGTTCGAGTCACTTCTGGGGTGTTGAGTTTTCATTCATATATATATATATATATATATATATATATATATATATATATATATGTCGTACCTAGTAGCCAGAATGCACTTCTCAGCCTACTATGCAAGGCCCGATTTGCCTAATAAGCCAAGTTTTCCTGAATTAATATATTTTCTCTAATTTTTTCTTATGAAATAATAAAGCTACCCATTTCATTATGTATGAGGTCAATTTGTTTTTATTGGAGTTAAAACTAACGTAGATATATGACCGAACCTAACCAACCCTACCTAACCTAACCTAACCTATATATATAGGTAAGTTAGGTTAGGTAGCCAAAAAAAGCTAGGTTAGGTTAGGTTAGGTAGGTTAGGTACACGAAAAAACATTAATTCATGAAACTTGGCTTATTAGGCAAATCGGGCATTGCATAGTAGGCTGAGAAGTGCGTTCTGGCTATTAGGTACGACATATATATATATAAAATATATATATATATATATATATATATATATATATATATATATATATATATATAAATATATATAATATATATATATATATATATATAAAATATATAAAATATATATATATATATATATATATATATATATATATATATATATATATATATATATATATATATATATAATATGGGACCATTCAGGCTTGTTCGCATATATATATATATATATATATATATATATATATATATATATATATATATATATATATATATATGTCGTACCTAGTAGCCAGAACTCACTTTTCAGCCTACAATGCAAGGCCCGATTTGCCTAATAAGCCAAGTTTTCATGAATTAATATATTTTCTTTAATTTTTTCTTATGAAATGATAAAGCAACCCATTTCATTATGTAAGAGGTCAAATTTTTTTTATTGGAGTTAAAATTAACGTAGATATATGACCGAACCTAACCAACCCTACCTAACCTAACCTAACCTATCTCTATAGGTTAGGTTATGTTAGGTAGCCAAAAAAGTTAGGTTAGGTTAGGTTAGGTAGGTTAGGTAGTCGAAAAGCAATTAATTCATGAAAACTTGGCTTATTAGGCAAATTGGGCCTTGCATAGTAGGCTCAGAAGTGAGTTCTGGCTACTAGGTACGACATATATATATATATATATATATATATATATATATATATATATATATATATATATATATATATAAAGTTGTATCTTCACTTTAGATGATACTAGCCACATATACGTCAGTTTGTACTCATTTTAGGACTTTATTAGCATAACTTATCTTGGTTTTCTACAGCGCCAAACGTCTATTTACGTTTGGCGCAGTCTAGTGATTAAGGCTATTTTTTTATCTTAATATAATAAAAAGATAATTGCATGTAAAACTGTACTTACGATGTTTAGTGTGCGCGCTGCTCACTACAGGCCCTGCTGGAGGAGGCGGTGTTGTGGTGGTGGTGGTAGTGGTAGTGGTGGTAGTGGTAGGTGCCATCGTCGTGGTGGTGGTAGTAGTAGTAGTAGTAGTGGTGGGTGGTTGAGTTGTGGTAGTGGTGGTGGTGGGTGTGGTGGTGGGTGGTTGAGTGGTGGTAGGAGGTAGTGTGGTAGTGGTGGTTGATAGTGGTGTGGTAGTGGCGGGTGGTGGAGAGGTTGGATGAGTCTTGTGGATACGGTCATCCACGCTGGGAGTAGTGTGTGCTATCCACCACGTTGGTCGTGTTGGTCTGTGGCAATGAAATTAAGATGATAATACCGGAATAATAATAATAATAAGAATATATAAAACTAGACAATTTAAAGATTACAAGAAAGGACAATGGTGAACAAACAGACTACTAACATATAGTGGACATAAAAAGTGAGAAATGTATTCAGACCATTCTGAAGCTTGGAGCATCACATAATGAAGCCTAAGACGGCGTTGAAGCCTCAAGAACCAAAACAGTGGGCATAAGACAGAATTCAGAAGCTTCGCGACACACATGATGCTTACTTTGAAGGTTTAGGTGGTCGTGTAGGCCGTGTGGGCGGCGTGGGCGGGACGGCAGGTATGGGCGTAGTGTCGGAGTCAGGGGGTAGGACGGTTGGAGACACCCACGCCCACACGGTGGGTGTGTGGGGTTGTTCTGTAGAGGTAGTGGTGACGGGCGGGCGTGTAGGCGGCCGCTGGATAGTGATGGGTCTAGAGGTGATGACTTCGGGAACTCCCGAAGTCGCGCTCGGCGTCGTCGACGCTGGCAGACTGGTATTCTTGCTCATGATGCCCGGAGCGATGAGTTCGCCGAGACCTCCGCCGGCAGGGGAGAGGTGGTTGGTCTTGTCGTCGTGGGTACAGCACGAGCCGAACATGAAGCCGTCCATACACATGCCCACGTGCTCCCCGTCTGTCTTGATGCACTCCCACACGAACATGCACACGCCCGCGCGACCCTCCACGCGACACGCCTTGTGGGCGATCTTGTTGTACGAGTCTGCAGGAGAGACAACATGAGAGGTCTTAGTTGACGGGTGTGGTGTGAGGCAGGGTGTGAGGCAGGGTGTGAGGTAGGAGGCGAGGCAAGGGTGTGAGGTAGGAGGCGAGGCAAGGGTGCATTATGAGGATCAACACATCAACCTCATAATGCACCCTTATCTCGAGGTTATCTCGAGATGATTTCGGGGCTTTAGTGTCCCCGCGGCCCGGTCCTCGACCAGGCCTTCACCCCCAGGAAGCAGCCCGTGACAGTTGACTTACACCCAGGTACCTATTTTACTACTAGGTAACAGGGGCATAGGGTGAAAGAAACTCTGCCCATTGTTTCTAGCCGGCGCCTGGGATCGAACCCCGGACCACAGGATCACAAGTCAAGCGTGCTGTCCGCTCGGCCGACCGGCTCCTCTTGACCCTTGATTCACTCTTATTCACACAAGAGTGAATAAGGCAGCAGTGATACTAAAAGTCCCCATCTCGCAGGATGGTTAGTCATACATATGTTCAGTAGCCTGCACTGACAAATTTTGGGTGCAATATGAGGATATCATCAACACGAGAGTGAATAAAGCAATTGCAAAGCTCCATGCCAACGGGTCTGAATGGTCAAATAACTGGGCATTCGGTGATGTAGTGTGGGAGATCAGGCCACACTTCCTGCTCACAGAGTTTGCACCTGGAGTGCTCAGGATTGGGAGATCCGTCACCTGTAGCCACCTGCCACAGGTAACGGTAACTCAACCTGATCCTGGCAAGTCCTGTCTGGTGGACGCTTTGTGCTGCCTGTAAACATAGGGTTACCATAGGCTGAGGGTAACCATTCGAATTAAAAAAAAATGCCAACAGAGCCCTAAAAATTAACGTAACCTAGGCCTAATCTAATTTAGGACTGTACTACCTCAGGCTTAACTATAAACAAAACAACAATGTATAACAAAACTAATGTGATTTTTTTTAAAATACAGTAGATCAAAATAATGAACGCGGGTGTGTGAGGCAGGGCGGGGGGGGGGTGTGAGGCAGGGTGGAGGGGGGGGTGAGGCAGGGCAGGGGGTGTGTGAGGCAGGGTGGGGGGAGGGTGAGGCAGGGCAGGGGGTGTGTGAGGCAGGGCAGGGAGGGGGGTGTGAGGCAGGGCAGGGAGGGGGGGTGTGAGGCAGGGGCGCGTGTAGAGAAAGCCAGGCTGTAAACACTCGTACGATGAGTTACACTCATTCACAAAACTGCAAATGAGAACATTGATAATTTAACAGAATGAGTTCTAGACTAATTCATTTGTAATAAAATTCTCTCACCCTCAACCGACACGCTTGCGAGCACGCCACCCCCCCCCCACCCCGCCCCCCACACCCACACACACCCACACTACCCTAACACATCAACCCACACACCCACACCCTCCCCCAACCAACCACTCCAAACATAAGTTTCCTTCCTCACACACACACACACACACACACACCTGCTGAAGTCCACGAGGAAAACCCTAATTATTTAGCATGACTTTCCAGTAAGATATCTGACTTGGGCAGTGACACGGGCGTTTGGGCGACGAGGGAGGAGGAAGAGCGTGGCCTGCGGGGCGTGGAAATGCTTCAGCAGCTCTACTAAATATGAAATTAAATTATGTTAGCGGATTTGGCTAATTACAGGTCATTCCCGTCCTCTGAGCGAGACACGGAGAGCAAGAAGAAGTTCAATGAAAGTCTCAAGAGAAAGTCCCAGCACAGGGAAGGTTATATTAGATATCAACAAATGATACGAGAAAAGAGAGAGAGAGAGAGAGAGAGAGAGAGAGAGAGAGAGAGAGAGAGAGAGAGAGAGAGAGAGAGAGAGAGAGAGAGAGAGAGAGAGAGAGAGAGAGAGAGAGAGAGAGATTACAGTGAAAGTGAGACTAATATCACGCAAAATACATCTCATCCTCCATAGCGTTACCTCCCTATGCATGATTCTTCTCAGCTGACAATAGCCAAACACTAGTTGGGATTCAACAGAACCCCACCCCACACACCCCCCCTAACCCCACCCTCCCTCCTGGAACCCCCACCCCCACCAACAAACCAACTAGGAGAACTCTCCTTGCGTCCCTACGGGCTCACCTTAGCCCGTGCTACTTGGAACTTGTTCCGAGTAGCTGAATCTATAACAACAACATCCTTGCCTCCACCTACACAGGTAAATTGTTCTCTCTCTCTCGTCCGGTAACCTTCTCACCGTAGTTCTTCTTCCTCTTATTTTTTAATCAGTATCATCCACCTAACTTTTTTTTTCAATTTCAACAAGATCATTAACTTTAATTAATGTCATTGTACTAGCCAATTACTTTCATATTGCAATGACTTTTTGGGTAATTTGATAAAAAAATCTTGATCACTTTTTTTTCAGATTGTACTCTGAGTTATTTGGGGCGAGAGTTATATTATTTTGAATATTGTCTCACGGAAATATTACACGATGAAATTACTACAGCATGGTGGTAGTAGCAGCGATGGTGGTAGTAGTAGTAGTAGTAGTGGTAGTGGTTGTAGTCATGGAAGGAACGAGTATCCGACTATCAGTGTAGGTGTAAGGGGAAAGAGAAAGAAATCAGGAATAAGAAATAGCTAAAGATGACTACATGAGTCGATTCCTAACGTTACTAAGCCGGCCTCAAGAGCTGAGCTCCACGCACACACACACACACACACACACACGCACACGCACACACGCGCACACACACACGCGCACACACACACACACACACACACACACACGTCACCGCGATGGGTCAGTTTGCCTGCTTCCGTGGCCCGCTTTCCCTTGGCCCCGAACACTTCAAATGATGGTATTTAGCGACCAGTGAGGAACGTTTCCCTGCGGTGAGTCCTCCCCAGGGAGAGTCCTTCAGTGTCCGTGTCCGTCAGAGTCCTTCAGTGCCCGTGTTCTAGTCCGTGGCCGTGTATCCATGTGCTTTTGAGTCCACATGGACCATTACATATATAAATTACATATAGCTAATTTAGTATATACTTTGTGTCACTCTGTGGCAACTGGAAACAGCCGGCTGGTTGGCAACCGCTGGTAGATACACACACGCACCCGCGCGTGCGCAGATATACACATACACCCGCGCGTGCGCAGATATACACATACACCCGCGCGTGCGCAGATATACACATACACCCGCGCGTGCGCAGATATACACATACACCCGCGCGTGCGCAGATATACACATACACCCGCGCGTGCGCAGATATACACATACACCCGCGCGTGCGCAGATATATACACACACACACAACTTAGTTTCCTGTTACTCTCTTTTTACATTTGGATTTTCCGTTGAGGATTTCGGGCGTTTGTGTACTTGAAGTCACAGCCGGGCTTCTCCAGGCCACCACAGCCAGCTGAAACATGTCAAGTTCCCAAGTGAAAGCTTCAGACGTTGTTCCAATGAGGACTGTTAGCGTTGAGTGGTTGCAGAGCGGCTGACCTCTCATGTGAGGAGTTCCCGGGCCCTCCTCAGTTTCCTTGGACCTCCTTCCTTCGCGCGGTGGAACGAGGCAATTAAGAGGACATCTATGAGGAATTCTTTGTATTGGGACGACCAGGACCTCGGGTCCTAGGTCAAAATGACGTCTGCTTAACCACTGCACCTTGATATGCTGTGAATGTAGTGTATACGTACGGCACCTGATCTTTTCCAGGATTTTCCAGGTGTGTAGTGTAAGTGATCTTCCATGTGGTTACAGTTATTTGGGGGGATGGAGGGGGGGCGGGAGATCTGTACATGTGTTCTGAGGATAGAGGACTGTCCTCGTGTAGAGTCCTCTTTATCCACCCCATCCCCTCTTCCTGGCTGTTGCTGTGTATGCTCTCTAATCTCCTCTAGACGTTAAGTCCTCTGGCATTATTATTCCAAGCCCTTTCACTTCCTGATTTAATTCTGTGAGCTTTGACTTATAGATCTAAGTCTACGATGCTCAGATCTTTCTAAGATTTTTGTTTTGTTAGAAACCATTTCGCACCTTTGGTTTCGCACCTTTGGTTTCGCACCTTTGGTTTCGCACCTTTGGTTTCGCACCTTTGGTTTGTAATGTCTACGTTGAACGTTATGTTCTCTACCGTTGTTGTTCTTAAAGATTCGCAACCCGGAACAAGAAGTTCCAAGTAGCACGGGCTATGGTGAGCCCGTAGTGTTTTTGTTCTTTACCGTTGTTCTTTGTAATTCTTTGTCGATGTGTAATTTGTGTCCATCTTCCACCAGGGTGGTTGTGCTGATTTTCTTATCGTCAGCGAAAGATAACATAAAACTATGAGTTGAATTCCCGTTTGTCTGTTATCAGGAAGAGAGAGAGAGAGAGAGAGAGAGAGAGAGAGAGAGAGAGAGAGAGAGAGAGAGAGAGAGAGAGAGAGAGAGAGAGAGAGAGAGAGAGAGAGAGAGAGAGAGATCACCGACGGGAGAACTCTGCCTTGAGAACTCTAGCTTCATACACTTCTCAGACTCGAGTGGATTTGATCTTTTGTAATTTGTAAGAAAATTACTAATCCACCTTATCACTACAGCTGTTATTCTCCGATGTTTCATTTTATTGACTATTTCTCCATGGAAACATTTGTCAAATGTTTTTGCTTTCAAACTGATAATAAGACCTCTGTATTTTAGTTTGCTTTTAATGACTATATAATTTTGTTAGAGAGATTAAGTAGTTGAGGAAGACCAGACCTACATGTTCTGAATGTTCTACATGTTCTACATGTTCTTCACCTGGATTTATAGTTCACCCTTTCCATAAAACTGGCAAATTGGCCTGTTAAGAACCCTGTCAAAAACCTTTAATGATGTGTGTTGACCGTTCCGGAGCTTCTTGCCAGTGCTTGACTACCTGTCATGTCAAGCGACGTCTGTCGTGTAGAGGAGCCTTGGGATGTCATCTGCCTGCCTCTAGGCTCTTACTCCATATGACACTGACTTCATTAATTAGGTGACTTCCGGTGCTCTTCTTCATTCTCTGTTCGAGTAATCTTTTGTTTTCTCTGTCTCTCTGTTGCTTGTGAGAACATGTGCAGCTGTGTGAGTGAGTCTGTGCTCTCTTTCCAACACCTTTCTCTCTCTCTCTTACGTATTTCAGACAGACATTGTGAGTTTCTGTATTCCTTGTTTTTATGTATTGTGTCCGATTTCTGGGGCTTGGGGAACTTTCCCACAAAGCGCTGGACAATTGTTGAAATTAAACTTATTTTGGTAATTTTTACTTCAGTGAGGTTGGTATGTAAAGTTGTATATGAGACTGCGATATCGTTGATTAGTTCTTCATTATCAGGATGAAAATAAATCGCTCAATTATCTGTTCTTTAAATACGAACAGTTTACAGAGTTACAGAGGTTACTGAGCTAGCTCTCAGATGGGTCGAGGTAACTTTCTGCCAGTCTCTAAATTTATTATTTATAATTTTCCACTTCAAATTAGGAGGGTTTAAGTCTCCTAGAAGGACAATTTTCAGTTCTGGGTTCTCTAACCGTTTCTCAACGATTTGTATCTGCTCAGTGAGTTCTTTGGTTGTTGCGTCTTGGGGTTTGTACTCGCCTAGTTGAGCTCTGGCTCATTGGTCCCGCCTCTCAACTATCAGTCAACTGATGTACAGATTCCTGAGCCTCATGGGATCTATCATATTTACATTTGAAACTGTGTATGGAGTCAGCCTCTTTGTATATGAACACATTTGCTAGTTTGTCCCTCCTACTTTGATTCCTAATGTCTCAACCACATTCAAATGAAGTCTTGGAGGTAGATTCCAAACACAGTTTCAGATGTAGATGGAACTAAATAGGTTTGAGAGGCTGGAACAAAGAGCTTGAGCTCAACCCCCGTAAGTACAATTAGACGATTACATACAAGCCAGGAATCAGCCCCTCGTTAAACATAAATAATTACCTGTAAAAAAAACGTATATATATGGGTTAGTCCCTGATTCAAAAGGACCTATCTATGAGGACAGAAGCATCAGAAGGGGACATGATCACTTCGTACCGAGTAGAAAAGACGAGGTGAACAGCGACATACCCTTTTAAATAGAGAGGGAGGGAGTTATCAATAAGCAGAAATAGGTAAGCACAATATACCAGGTCAGTATTCACAAGCAGTATACTAACGTAATAAACATGAGGTATATCCACACAACACACACAGACATATTCACAGAATACACAAGAGGGTATACTTAGGGTATACTTACAGTATGAGTGGGTATCAATGGCTCGACCCTGGGGCATGAGGGGGGCCAAGTGAGGGGGCAGCTCCCCCCTAACCAGCACCAGCCAACAGGCAGCCACGACCACCACCGTCCAAACTGCTCGTCCTACCCAGCAAACAAACAAAAAAACACTCATTAACACCTGCGAATACAATATATCTTGCTGGGGTATATTACCCAGTAATTAATTACGCTGCATTAGTTCCACTGCCTCTGGACGCTATTTTAAAATAGCTTTCACTCTCATAATGGAGGAAAAATAATAGCAATAACATTAATATTGACAAGACACATATAAATTAAACTTAACAAAGAATAAAATGTGAAATATTACTCGACAACAATCATATTCTCTCTTATCTCTTCATTTATCTCTCTATCTCTAGCTGTCTCTGCCCCTCCATTATTCTCCCTGGCTGTCTCTATATCTGATTGTTCGTTGTTGTTGTTGTTTTAGATTTAGCTACTCGGAATGAAATGTCCATGTAGCACGGGCTATGGTGAGCCCGTATCTGATAGTTCAAACAACACGACTGAAATGCTTAACTCTAAGGTAAGGTGGAGGGAGGCAGGGGGAGAGGACGAAGGCCCTCCAGTGACCTCTCCACGCCCTCCAGGACGAAGGAGAGGTCTAAAAAGTACATATGTAGACATTACAACCTTTCCTCAGGCTGGGGTCGACCGCTGGATGTAATGCACTTGAGTCGAGGACGGGTTGATGTGGCCGAAGCATTTCAAAAGGCTCGCTTCGAACATAAGATGTGAATGAAGCATTTTTTCGAACAAATATCGACTGTAGCTGTGGGAAGCAGAGCAGTCCCGTCCTCATAAACAATGGCCAAATGCTCCGTAATCCAGTCGCAATACCCGGTGTTTATGGATGAAAAACGGTCTACACACCGAACTTTCCAACCCGTCCTCGACTCAAGTCCATTACATCCAGCGGTCGACCCCACAGACGCATTCATAAATATTTACATGCTCTTCATTCAAAACGGGAATTTTCTCAAATATAAATTAATATTATAAGATATTAGCATAATGTACATATTTAGACACTGGTTAGGTTATGTGTTTAGGTTCTGTTGGCGATTATTTGTATTTGTAGTACGTAGGTGAAGCATTTACAGCGTTGTGGTTCGAACACAAGTCGCCAGTGAAGCACTTGTTCCGGAAGTGTTCGAACTAAACCAGTTGTGAGTCGTGTGTAAACCGTTTTTCATTCATAAACAGCCGGGGGGTTTGGCGGGTGCATGGAATCACTTATGGGTCTTTGTTTGGAGGACAGACTAGAGGACGGACTGGAGGATGGACTGGAGGACGGACTGGAGGACGGACTGGAACTTTCACACCGATGATGTTCGAACTTTTATCGAACAATGCTTCGCTTTGAACATTTACAGCAGAACTGACGAATGCGTCGCTTGTGACCGGCGCAGACTGTACGAGAACAGCCTAAGGACTGGTTGATCTCGTGTAGTGCGTTTTCATCCATAAACAGTGTTTTGGCGGCTGGATTAACGAGCCTTTGGCCATTGTTTATGAGAACGGGCTGCTTGCGAGGCTCAAACACTAGCATCTAGTATGAAAAATAATCCCCTCACTTGGCTAATTATCAACTAATTTATCTTCACTAACTTTACTATAGATGTGGGAAAAACCTGCTGGGATTGATATAAGAGGAGACTACCAGGGACTTGTACTGAACTAAATTAAAAATTTACTGTCTGCAAATTAATTCAACTAAAATCTCTAGCTAGGGTTGTAAATCCTAGATCCTCTTTTCCTAATGACAAACTGTGGGCTGTAAGGGACAGGTGGGGTGAATGACTTGTTGATAGAAGTTCCAGTCCACCTGTAGACAGGGATCTCACATCAGCTTGTATTTTATACAAGGATAAGATTTGATAAATTCAGTTATCTGACTGAACACTGGCTCTGTTTAAATCAGAGATTTAAACATACATAGTCTAACCTAGTACCATAACTTAACAGCCAATAGATTCTTATACTATAAACAACAAATTAAATTGTAAAAGTATAAATAAATGACCTTAAATGTAGTCTAAATACTATTAACTTAGTACTAGAAATTATATTCAATTAAATGAACTTATATGATAACTTAAAAATAACTAAGCAAGCAATTGATAACTTAATTTATATATTCAAATATATATGCAGACATATTCACTTTATACAGTTAGCTTGACTGAATCTCTTCCAAGACTGTGGACACTTGTGAGGTTTTTACTTATTGAGGCTGAATTCTTTTCTGACAGAATGGACACTCATGAGGTTCAGTGCTTGGATAAGATTCACAGCTACACTACAATTTTAATAAACGTACCGATATGTGAGGCTTAGCCTCGCTTTTTAACCAACAGACAGATTTATAGGATATTAAAGTTACACAAGCATACAATTGGCCAATCATACACCAAATAACCTTCAATATACTTCTCTGCCAGTCGGGGTGCCTGTCTGACAAGTTTGCCAGACTGATTAACTCTCTTGTCGAGTTTAGGCACGATATTTTGCTACAGCGTTGCTGTATGATGATCTGGTAGCGTTGCTACGTGATTATCCTGCAGTTGCAGAAGAATGATTCGAGATAAAAGTTTATGAATGAAGGTGGAGGAAACCGTGTCACTGATCTCCACTATACACTCTATTTTATGTAATGTTCCAGGATTTTCCTTGTAGATATTGTCCAGGTACTCCCCCAGTTCTAGAGAGTATTCACTGGCGATAAAAATATTAGATAAGGTGTCCTTGAGCTGGTAATGTTCGCTAAGGATCAGTCACTTGTTCACTCATTTGTAAACAAACGCGGAGTGCCGCGAGGCATCGTCGTGGGCGCTTCTCGCCCCCCGAGAGCCTTCCCCCTCTCCCTTGAGAGGTAGCTTGCAATGAATATTGATTGATTATTTTTACAGTCTAGACTTATGATTAAGATAAGATGTGATTATAATATAATTAGATATAAGATTTAAAGATTATAAGTAGTATTTGAAAGTACCACTGAATCTTATTAAGGATTCGATTTTTAATCCTACCGGATGTTGAATCAATGTTCCAATAGTTTTTTAATTAAGAAGTCCTTCTAGAAGCTTCTGGATCCTTGAAAGATCATGTACAAAGTCACGTAGGCATCAAAAGGGCCCCTGTTGAGTACGTGTTCATGGTGCCATTGTCATCCAGGATCAAGCTATAATGAATCTTTAATGATTCTTATATGATTTTGATACGATTTAGATATGATTTTGATATGATTTAGATATGATATAGAAATTATACATTTCTTAGATGATTATTAGATATGGTGGGTAAAAATTTCCCACATCTTCCAGAGGGAGAGAACTGGCACAGAGTCCAATACTTAGGACAATAGTAACCATATGTATTTATTTACTCTCCATTGGATTGATAATACAAGTGCAAATTTTGCTTGCACTTTTGTGCTGCTGTCCGTTGTGGACGATTGTGTCTGTTAGGAGTCTGTGGGTCTTGTGGAGTTAGAGTGTCTTGAGGTCTCTCAGGATCTAACTGCAGCTGGCTCACTGATTCCATGTGGATGAGTTTGTCCAATGTCTTCAGGGAAGTTGTTCCTTTGGACAGGATTTTGACTATTCTCAAAATCCCCTGACTATCTGGATGGACTGAGACAACTTTACCTAATGGCCAGTCAGCCCTAGGGCCATCACTGTCTACCAAGACAATATCGCCAGGTTGGAGATTAGCTATATTATGTGGGACATTGGCCCCATAGTGATGTTCTCGTAGAGATGTAAGATATTCTTTTGTCCAAACATCATTCCATTTTTGGATTATGCTGGACAGATGCTTATACCCCTGAACCAACTCGCTCTGACCCACATATGAGGGATCTCTGATCTCATCATCCACTAGAGATGGTACTGGAGTCAGAAGTCTTCCATACATTAGGTGGGCAGGACTTAATGGCTCATGTTGAGTAGGATCCTCAGACAAGTAAGTCAACGGCCGGTTATTCACCCTTGATTCTATTTCCGTGATTACTGTCTGGAGTTCTTGAAGATTGATTTTCTGACGGTGTAGAGATTTTCTCAAGGATCTTTTTACAGTTCCTATTAACCGTTCATAAAATCCTCCGTGCCATGGGGCTCTCGGAGGGATAAATTTCCATCTGCAATGACGCTGTTCCAGTGTGGAAGTAACTGCAGGATGGGAACAGATTTCCCGTAGACATGCTTCTCCAGCTACCAAGTTTGCTCCGTTATCTGAAATCATCAGCTTAGGGCATGATCGGCGTGCTGCGAATCTGCGGAAAGCTTGAATAAATGATTGAGCAGTCATATCGGGTGTTACCTCTAGATGTACTGCCCTGGTGGTAGCACAGGTGAACAGACAGATGTATGCCTTGATAGGTTGCTTATCTGCAGTCCCTGTTAGATATATTGCTCCTGTATAATCTACTCCTGTCGTTTCGAAAGGTTGTAGATGGACCACTCGTTCCTTTGGCAGGGGTGGTGGCCCTGGATAAGAGCAAGTTCTTGCATCGTACCTTCGGCATATCATGCAATTCTTCAAGATTGATTTGACTGACTGTCTTCCCTGAGGAATCCAGTACTGCTGTCTGATTTGTGTGAGTGTGTCTAACACTCCTCCATGTTTGATGATTTGTTGATGTGTATGCAACACAATCAACCTTGTGATCCAATGATTTTTTGGTAAAAGCCATGGATGCACGGTATCTAGATTGATATCTGCGTGTTTAAGTCTCCCTCCACAACGCAGAATGTTGTGATTTTCTTGGTCTATCCACAGACCGAGATTGTGTTTTAACTTATGCGGAAGATTTTCATAGTTATTCCCATAAGTTTCTCTCTGGGCTTGTCTTACCCAATAGATAAGTGCATCTGGAAAAGTGTATTTTATACCTTTTTTCCTGAGATAATGAAACACGTTCTGTGTTACATTGATTAATTTGATGAGCGAGGAGTAACGAGTACAATCCAAGACTGATATTTGAGCTTGCTGCCTGGTGGTAGTTATGGTTTGTGTCGTAATGACGTGTGGCTTTTGTTCAGGCCAACTACCATTCACTAACCATCGAGGCCCATGAAACCAAATATCTGCCTTTGCAAACTGTTTAAATGTCATACCTCTTGATAAGAGATCAGCTGGATTATCCTTTGTTGGTACATGCAACAATTGAAAGCCTGCGGAAATTTCTTTAATTTCCGAGACGCGATTTTTTACATATGGAGTTGGACAGTTGTCGTTTCGTACCCATTGTAAGACAGCTTCATTGTCAGACCATATAATGACATCTTTGATGTTCATGGTAGACAAGACTTGTTTGATATGTACTGCTAAGCGTGTTCCAGTTAGCAGTGCTGTTAGTTCCATCTGAGGCAAAGTCCTCTTTTTTAATGGAGCGACTCTGGCCTTAGAGGTGATAAGATATGATTGATTAGAAGTCACTAAGTAAGCACAAGCTCCAAAAGCTTTGGCTGACGAGTCTGCGAATACATGTAGTGATACTTCTTCATTTTCCTCGACTATGTGTCTCGGAAAGATTATCTTTTCAACTAAAGTTTGTTCTTGAGCCACTTCCATCCAAGCTTTTTGTAACTGGATTGGTAGTGGATCATCCCAACCAACCTTAGCTTTCCATGCTTGTTGCACCAATAAACGCCACTTGATAGTCAAAGGATTTAGTAGACCAAGTGGGTCGAATACTTTGCTAACTTGTGAAAGCAAATCCCTTTTTGTAGTGATGTTGTAATTTACTGGCACAGATTTGATCGATATTGTGTCCGAGATTAAATCCCAATCCATACCTAACACCTTTTGTGATTCTGGTACGTGATATTCAGGGTAATCTCTTGCTATTTGATTATTCAATGTTGCATTATTAGAGGCCCAAGATTGTAGTGGCATGTTGGCACCTTGTAGCTCCTTGTTGGCCTCTTGATATAATTGTAACAGTTCAGTAGTACTGTTAACTGTCCCTTGAAAATTATCTACATATAGATTTTGACTGATTTCAGTCTTACAGGGACTTGATGATTTCTTCAGATGAGTATCTAGAGTTGCTTGCAACAGAAATGGACTGCTTGTCGCGCCGAAAAGAACTGAAGAGAATCTGAAAGTCACTACAGGACTATTGACATCTTCTGGGTTCTCTACCCATAGAAACTTAGTGAAGTCTCTATCTTCTTCCTGCAAGCCAACTCTTAGAAAGGCCTTACTTATATCTGCTGAATACGCATATTTGTTAAGTCTAAACTTCAACAGTATGTCATACAATTTCTGAGTTAGACTTGGACCTGTTTGCAAACAATCATTTAGACTGGTTCCTTGGGGTCCAGATTTAGAGCTACAATTAAAAACTATCCGTAAAGGAGTTGTTTTTGATTCTCTCATTACAGCCATGTGTGGTAAAAAATGGCCTATTTGCTTATTGTCATGTTTCACGACTTCGATGAATTTATTCTTTAATTGTTGAGCAATAATCTCATGATAGAGTTTTAAATGCTCAGGCCTTTTTCTTAGCTTTGCTAGTTGCGATTTAAATTGACTATAAGCCATGTGATAATTGGTAGGTAAGGTTTTATGGTTGATTTTCCATGGTAGCCTTACCCAGTACTGTCCATCAT